TGATGCGTAACTAACCTTGTGGGAGGCTGTTTCGGGTTCAGGAGCGGCAACCACACCTCATGAAGGTCAGATCACACTCCCAGTGATTAGCATTATTGGGTGCTTGGCACTTCCTGTACCTTGTTTCCTTAGCAAATAGTGGCACAGTTGGTCACTGTGTTAGGGGGTAAGGTAGGAAGCTCATCTGGGGGGCTGACCTCCCAGAGCTGGCCTCGCAGAGGCTTTGATTTCCCTTTCTTTTCATCACATCGCAAGTGGCCCTGATGGGATAGCTCATATCCCGAGTCATCTCTCCTCTCCATCCTGCTGGGTGGAGAAAGAGGAAACATCTCACTCCTGGAGTCCACCTTCCTCTGTCACATGGTGGCACTACTTATCGAGTCCAGCCCTGGTCCTTTGCCCCTCTGGCCCACTTATCTTTAGGTCAGAGGTTATAAAAGCAAATGTGTCCTTCAGTGTGTGTGTGTGTATACACAGGTGTGTGTGCAGGAAGTAACAGTTTGCTAGCTGGGCAGAGACCCGAAATCTGGAGAGCATGAGTTCTCATCGAAAGGGGGCAGTGACAGCTCATCTCCCGCCAGTTAGAGATGTGGGCCTGATATTGTCAGAATTCTTCAATAAAAACCTAAAATCTGTATTTTATGTGCAATCTTGAGATCTTTTGAATGCTGGCAACTTCATTAAGTTTTAAAGTGCTGTGTAGACCTGGAATAGGCACATTCATAGAGATAGAATGGTGGTTGCCAGGGGCTAAGGAGAGTGGGGAGTGGAGTGTTGAAATTGGGGGGCGAGGGGGAGGAAGTAACATGACCAACCAAATACTTAAAGGATTTTTACATAGAAAAGAAAATAGACTTTGTTATGGCTCCAGAGGATAGACCTAGGAGCCTAGACCAGGCCTTGACCTCAACATAACCTGAGAAATTTACCAAGTGCATTTGGATTTCTTGAAACCATGAGCCAAGGCGGGGCTGCGGAAGGACAGTATGACAGATGACCTGTGAGGCCATCTACCAGATGATGTAATTAACATGTGCACATCTTCTCTTTTCAATAATTCTACAGATTATTCCCATCAAGGAGTAGACCAACTGCAAAAGGTGATTGACACCATCAAAACCAACCCTGACGACAGAAGAATCATCCTGTGTGCTTGGAATCCAAAAGGTTGAAAGCATCTCAGTCATCCTCTCCTGTCCTAACTGTATGGTTGGCATCAGGGGAAGCAATGTTGCCTTGTTGCTGGGGCCTCCAGCAGGAGGCAGGCCTTCAGAACCCCCCGAGCCCCATGGTCACTTGGGTGACCCTCGGCAAGTCACAGTTGGCCTCATTTTCACCTTCAGAGGATGGAATTGGATCCAGATCACCTTAATATGTATATTTATACTTATTCTTACTTAAAAATAAGGTTTTAAATGGCGTATAAAAATACATGTAAGATTTTAACATTTTAAATTGGGACAGAAGTTTCAGTTCCCTCCTACATTGATATTATTAATATTTGTACCAACAGTATTATAAAATTAAACTTTACCAATGTGTAATAAAGACCCAGAGCAGAATATTTACATTTATAATAGAGACGTGGAACACGGGAGGGTGTGTCTGAGACGCTAGTCTCCTGTGGTCCCTACAAATGAACTCATTCTTTCTGTGAAGGTAGCACAAATAATTTCAGCTTGTATGGGAGAGCATTGCTTCTCCCATTGTAAATGTACATCACAGAAGGCCTGTTAATGGACAGGTCTCTGTCAAGTTTGTGCCATCCCTGTGATTGGAATGGTCTGCTTCTGCCATGAGGGGCAGGTGTGGGTCATGGGGGTCACATGACCTCCAACTTAGGAGTTGGCTTGTGTTTTGCTCCTGTTTTACTTTACCTATAGTTGTGTTCTTTAACCCTCCCACCCCCCCTTCCCCGCTTATATTCCTCTGTGCTGGCTCCTCAGATCTTCCTTCGATGGCCCTGCCTCCATGCCATGCCCTCTGCCAGTTCTACGTGGTGAACGGTGAGCTGTCCTGCCAGCTGTACCAGAGGTCAGCAGACATGGGGCTAGGTGTGCCCTTCAACATCGCCAGCTACGCCCTGCTCACCTACATGATCGCACACATCACCGGCCTGAAGGTGGGCTGCTCTTAGGAAGGAGCAATTGTTGCTGGCCTAAAGAGCTGAACTCTTAGGTTCTTTAACATGAAAAAAACTAATTGCACAGAATTCTCAATTAAATAAGAAATGAACTGACTCAACTGTGAACTTAAAACATATATAAATAGAAAATCAACTAGAGAAAAAACTTTTCTTAAAAGAAACCAACAAAAAACGAAAAAAAGCAAAATGAAAAATAGGTAGGAAAAAAAAAAAATGAACTGGCTCATTTTGTAACTCTCCCTGGAACTTTCCCATCCTTGTGGTCTGTATGAATAAGTTTATATAGGTTGTTTAAAATATAAGGTAACTTTTCTAAATTAACTTTTCTTAAAAGCAACACTGGTTATCTTTATGTTCTGAAAAGCTCTGCGATATCTGCATACGCTGCATAATGTGTTTTTAAGGGATGTGTTGAAGAGGGGTTAAAACTAAAACACTTCCTGTTTTGCTTCCTCCCATGCACTCAGCCAGGTGACTTCGTGCACACGTTGGGAGATGCACACATCTACTTGAATCATATTGAGCCGCTGAAAATGCAGGTAAGGATTCCATCTGTTGCACTTTGAAGGTTGGTCCCTCCTCTTGCTAAAAGGTTGGTTTGTAGAACATCCCTATTATAATAGGCATTCTTCCCAGTGCTGTGACAGATAAGGTGACCGGTTCTGACTGCAGAGCTTGGATGGTGGGCAGGTGGGTGGAGACAAAGAAGACACACGCCTCAGCTACCACAGGTGTGACAGGGACTGTGGGGGACTAAGCCACATGCAGACCAGAGAATTTGGGACCTTCCCAGAGGTAGCATTTCAATATTTTCCCTTAAGTTTATCCTAAATACAGTACTTAGGTCTGAACTTTCAAAAAGAGGTTCAAGTCCATAAATTATAGCAGCCAAAAGATTATTGGAAAATGGCAATAAAAAATATGAGTGTCTGCATGAGCCCCAAGAATAAAAATGTCAACCCCCAAACCTTTAGGCCCTTCCAGATTAGATCCAGGTTTTGCAAGTTTCTCCTTGGAGGAAATGTGTCTGCGTTGACTTAGAGGGTGGCTTCAAGGCTTTTCCAGATGCTTCTCTAGCTCCCTACTCCTGTCATGCTGGCCAGAATAAAGTGAGGTCATGACCTTTGTCACATCCTCATCGGCGCAGTTCATCTCAGGAATCCGGCTTGCATCCCCTTCTGTTCATTGTCAACAGATGTCATCTTTCCTTGCCCTTTCTGCCAGGGGTAGTTGGAATAGGAATTGTGGGGTTCAGGTAACCATTTTTGAGTGCCTACTATGAGTTACAGATACAACAGTAAGGGACTGTGTCCAGTCATTGATAAATTTACCAGGAGCAAGCAATCATAAGAACTTACACTTGGGGAGCCACCAGGCTCCTGACACCAAATGATTCCACAAAATACCCTCCGCTTTCCATGTATGTGACAGAAATAGTTATGTTCCAACAGGATTGCATAACCAGGGAAAAGGTATCCACAGTATCACTGAGCCCCTGTAAAGTAATACTTGCTGATAAAATACTGTGTGCTTATCTCATGAAGGGATGTGGGGAGCAGAATTAAAGCAGTAGTACAGATATAGCAAAATAATGGTCTGCTGTTTGTAGCTTCAGCGAGAACCAAGGCCTTTCCCAAAGCTCAAAATCCTTCGAAAAGTTGAGACAATCGATGACTTCAAGACTGAAGACTTTCAGATTGAGGGGTACAATCCTCATCCGACTATTAAAATGGAAATGGCTGTTTGAAGTGCTTTTAAAGGAGTTGTTTGAAGAATACTGCCTTTAGGGGTTGGAATGGATGCTTAGGTGAAAATTCTTTTTTGTTCTAAAGAAAGAAGGAAGTAGGTCAAAAATCAGTTGGTAACTGCCAGTTATTACTCATTAACTTAAGACTGTTACCACTGGCAAATATAGCTGTGCCGACTCCCTTAGCAATAAAAGGCCTTAACTGAATGAGGATGTATGAAAATGCTGAGATGATGAATAAAGTGAAGACAGTAAAAACGTATATACTTTAAAAATATGTACATGCATTTCACTTCCACATTTGTATGGTTAATGATTTCAAGAATTGTAAGTTATTCCTTCACATTTGAGCAAGCTGAATAATAACAGCAGTCATGATAATGTGTGGTTGGTGTGGTTATGAATATTTAAAGTTGTTTATTTTATATATTGTTATAATAAAGGAGAGTTCTGCATTCAACTGGGTTTTCTTCTTTCTCTATTGCCATTCTGCACAGTTCCTGTCTAACTAAACATGCTATATTCTTGTTTGGATGCTACTGAGGTTAGAATATATTTTAGAAATACTGACTAAACTATTAAATTTTTCTATGACTTATCTAATTCTAGCTGCATTTTGTCATTAAAATTATTTAGGATAGCCCTGTCTGGTATGGCTCGGTTGAGCGTCATCCTGTGCACCAAAGGTTGCCAGTTTCTGGTCAGGGCATATACCCAGGTTGTGGGTTCAATCCCCAGTTGGGGTCAGTGCAGGAGGCAACTGATAGATGTTTCTCTCTCAAGGTTTCTCCCTCTCCCTCTCTCGCTAAAAAATCAGTAACATTTTTTTTTTTCATTATTTAGGATAAAGGTTTTTTTAAAAAAGGGTTATTTAAAAAAAGACTGTGAAATAGCCTTTCGCTCATAGTTCAGTACAGTGTAAGTTCTGTAATGTGCTTAGAATGAGCTGGAAAAGAGATGCTAAACCACTCTGGGCTAATTAGTGGAATCTTTATCTTTGTTGCATCCCAGATACCCCACGGTGCTGCAGAACTATTTTTATTCTGCTAATGTATGAAATGTTAAATAGAATAAGGAATTGTTCCAACACGTTATGCAACATGCTGCTTATTTTCAAAGTAGAGTTTAATGTCTGGGTACCAGCACTTGGTAGAAATCTTATAAGAACATCTTATACTTTGAGCTAGTTACATTTAAATTTGTTTAAGGCCTAAGTAGGAGAGTATGTTTATTTGCTAAAAGAATTAAGTAAGAATAATTACTGTGCTGATTCTTGAGGATAATATAACTTTCAGCTGAATTTGTTTTCACTGGTAGATGATTTTCTTTCCCTATTTTCATAAAACCAGACCCAAGAAATTTTAAGCCTTTTCACTTAAAAAAGAAGTGGGTGTGAGGGCCGAACCCTTGAGCCGTGAGGAGTTTCTTCCAGACTTCACCATCTGGGTACTGGTGTTTCTTTATAGATTCCTCCTTCATTTCTGTGGAATAGCCAGCTCCCTGTAAGAGACAAAAAAACAAACAAACAAAAAACAACAGTGTTAACAACCACTTTTGTTTTTAGCAAAAAAACACATTTGTTTTATGTATTTCTGCTGCTCCTAAATATGCTTTTAAATCTAAGCTAAAGGCAACTGAATTAGTACTTTTAAAATAAATGTTCTGTTTGTTTGAAATGGAGGAGAGGGCCGCTTCTAGAATTAGTGCACAAATCAAGTTTCCTCTGAGAGCTCAGCTTCTGAAAATGACGACCCTGTTGAGGGTAAATGGCCCAGATAACACAACTGTACTCATACCTTGTCAGCTGACTAGCCTGCTAGTTGGTGCCAGTTTATTTGTTTTGTTTGCACAAGGAAAGCACATTTTAAGGTCTCAGCTGACGAGGAAAAGGTGGCATTAGAGAGGCCTTGTTGGGCAGTTTCACCCCCAAACCCTGACCTGTAGGCCTTGGGAATTTGGTGTTGACTAACTAAAAAGCCATTGGTTTCTAGATATGAAAATAAACTCTTAAGGAGTCAAAGCTTTGTGTACTAGGGTCTAGCTCAGTGGTCGGCAAACCGCGGCTCGCGAGCCACATGTGGCTCTTTGGCCCCTTGAGTGTGGCTCTTCCACAAAATACCACAAAATACGTACAGTGCGATTGAAACTTCGTGGCTCATGCGCAGAAGTCGGTTTTCGGCCTGGGCGAGTCTTTTGAAGAAGTGGCGTTAGAAGAAGTGTGGGGGTACGTTCACTGAGGTCAACCCCTCAGATTGAGGACGTTTTTAGGAAAGGCCAGTTTAGGAGTACCCTAATTAAATTAATAACAATGTACCTACCTATATAGTTTAAGTTTAAAAAATTTGGCTCTCTAAAGAAATTTCAATCGTTGTACTGTTGATAGTTGGCTCTGTTGACTAATGCGTTTGCCGACCACTGGTCTAGCTCAGGAGAACCAATGCAGCAGTGACTGGTTTGGGAGGCCTTCCTGCCCAAGCTCACCTTAGGAGGCAGGTAGGAAGCATTCTTGATTGTTACAGGATACTTGAAATGTTCATGCAGGTGGTCGACATATTCGCACATCCTAGGAGGAAAGAATCAGGTGGAGTATTAATGCCTTAAGTTAGATCATTCACTTGGTGGCAACTGTTAAAGCAGAACGGGTGACACCACAGTGAAGAAAGGGTGGACGTGGTCAAGGCTCGGCTGATAACCACGCTTCCCTCAACCTCTGTGCCTCGGGTTCTTATCTATAAAATAAAGCAATGTGGAGGCTTGGATGGAATGAACCAAAGTCTCTTAACTAAAGGTTTTGTGACCCCAAAAGGATTCAATTTAGACTCCATAAGGATCTGGAATTATTTGGATGCCTTTCGCCAAAAGTTAGATGAATAGATTAAAATCACCAAACGGGGTCCCTTCCAGCTATACACACGATTTAGAAGAGCACAGGTTTTAGGATCAGACCAGTCTGTTCAAATTTGGTATCAGCCACTTTCTAGTTTTGTTATATGGAGCAAATGGCTTAACTGCTGCCTAACTTTAGTCACCAGCTAATGAACAGCTGCTGTGAGGGACAGGCATGTGCCCTGTGCAGGGGATACACAAAGGAATTGGCAAGAGAGGGCCTCATGCTTTCAGTGGACACAAATACTAAGTCATGGACTATATACTGTTTGCTCCCTCTAACCCGTAAAGAACAGATGAACCAGCCCCGTGGGAGAGACAGCTGGGCCTTGAAGACTGAACAGAGAACAGAGTTCCACACAGAGAAATCACAACGCAGAGGCGTTGAGGTGTGACAGCAGTGTCTGTCTGTGGCTTTCTGCCAGCACAGTGCCATCCCTGAGCGGTGAGGCCTGCTTTCAGGGGAGCGGCAGGAGGCACTTTCCGTCACTCCTGGGCAGTCACAGTGCACAGCGGCTCAGGGCTGACCCTCTTTCTCATCCCTCAAGGCCTGCAAGGTTGGTTGGAAACACCCCCCCCCCCCCTTGGTCCTGCCTTCAGGAACTGAAATGAGAGGGGCAAAAGCAGAATATCCTAGGAATGTTTCTTTTTTATGGTTTAAAATACTTTAGAGAGAGAAGAGATATTAGGGAACTCTATAAACTTTTTCCCTAAGAATCCTGATTAAAAGTCAATACACAGAACACTGTCCAGCAGTTCCAGTGTATTTCCAGTACTGTATATGGAATGCTTTCTGGACAGTTATTAATTAGAAGAATAATGTAAAAACGTACAATATTAATACTTCCTAAATGTCCCTTAACAAAAGAAATGCAAGTCTCCGGAAAAAACAAATACTGTAGACATATTAAAAGGCAGCATGTGCCTACTCAACACCCAGCTTAAGAAAGGAATCATTACTTTATAACTGAAGCCCCTATATGCCCTTCCAGGTCCATTTCTCTCACAATCCTGAGTCTGGTATTTACCTTTCCCATGCATGTTTTTATGCTTTCACTATATGTTTCTAGTGAGCTTTCTGCGATACCACATTTACTTCCAGGAGGCACAAAAGCATAATGAATCTGCATGTGTGCAGGCGACTGGAAGGAGACTGTCTTAGTTTAAAGCTCACGTGGGACAAGTTGAGAAATCAGAGGGAACTACATGGCAATGGTGTGACCAGGTCAGGGAGGAGTCCAGTGCTAGGAAGAGGAGTTGGGCAGGGCAGAGAATACACCGATGATGGAAGTGGGGCTTTAGAAAGTCAGAAACAGGTGCTGGTTGAAGGAGTTCTGGTTTCCATCGGGTTGAAAAAGTCACCTTCTCCCCTACCTCCATGTACTTACAAAACAAGGTGATTCAGCTACCAAGAACCCACTCCACTAAGTGAAAAATAACTACTTACTATAGGGTCTTCCTTGTTGCTGTCCCATGTGAAGTGGGAGCAAAACCAACCTGGCCTTTGAGTCGCAGGATGTCCCCAAGGACAGGGTTCTTAGAGCCTCTGGTCACCAAAGCAGGAATAAAAGATCTGGGCTGAGGGACACTGTGGAAGTTAACGCCACATTACTCACCTGTTCGTGAGGCTTGCAGAGACTGATATGAAGTCAAATAGAATCAGATGCTGAACCAGTTCACAGAGGCCAACTCCACCAGCATGGGGGCAAACAGGAACTAAAATGAAGGCAGATTTCTACTGAATGCCAGGCGTAGGGCAGAGAGAGGGAAGGGGTGAGAACCTGCGGTTGTTATTGCCAGCAAGGAGTTAAATCATCCATTAATGTTTGGGGATGAAATTCCAGGATGAAAATCATCAAAGATCCCCTGATTAAGCCTAAGAGAAGAAAAAAAAAAAAAATGGAAAACTACAGAGGGAACCACAGGTGTCTGTGGGCAGGGAAAGGGAGGTTCGGTCTGCAGGCTGCCACACCCTTACTTTCAAATTTCTTGGCCATCAGCAACACTGAGAGGTTCTCATTGACACTTCCCAGCCTGCAGCTGTCAATCTGGAGAAACTGCAGGGCTTTCGCCTGTAGGAGCTGCTTAAACATCACTCTGTTGTGGCACTGGGAACAGAATGTCAGTAAGATCGACAGAAGCATCGGCCTTGGCCTTCGGGGTCTGCGAACCTGGCAACACGCCAATTCCAAGACCTTCCGGAAGCCTGGACTGTATTTACTCTGTTCTTACTTGGCATGAGTCAAGCCCCGATAGTCCAGGTGGGGGCCTTCCGATCGCTTCTTTACAAACCTGCAGGGGGAACTGTGTGAGTCATGGAAAACCACACCGCGCCCCGCCTCTTACGGAGTAACTGTCACAGCAAAGTGAGGCAGCAGATGCTACACGGCGACGGGGACGAGCAGATGGCACAGAGGACAAAACAGAGCTGTGCGAAGCAGCACTGCTCCTTTTGCGGGGGAAACCGGGAGTCTGTTCCCTCTCCCTGCGCTGCCCGTGGGCTGGCTGCCGCAGGTTTTGGCAGGTGGGCGTGCTCCGTTTGTAAGCACAGAGCGTGAACGCGGTCATGTTTACTCAAATTGGAAGCTGGCTTTCTTAGACCCACACAGTGTATTTTATGCCTTGGCAAGTAGCAAGTTTAAATTGCTGCTTTCTACATTTCCATTAGACACTTTGAAAAGAATAAAGGACCTTAGTCATATGAATTATAGAACAATCCAGAAACTTTTGACTATAGCTGACTCTTGACCCTAATGAAGTGCTGTAAGATGACCCAATTTCTAAGATTATGAAAATTTTCCAACTCAAAATACTAGGGATGTACTCAAACATCAGACGATGTCCTCCCTAGGCGGACCGACCCCGAGGAGACGTCACATACCTGCTCTCCTGTGGCAACGCCAATGCCTAATGGAATCAATGCCTATAAAATATAAGGAAGCCTACTGTTATTTTTCTAAGTTATCGAACTGAGAATTTGGTGTTTAAAAGTTTAGATTTATTTAACTAATGTTTGACTATTCAGAGCTGATTACTGCAGAGTGGGATGAGGCACTCAGGGGCAATGTGTGCACAGGGGAGGGGCTGTGTGTGTCTGCAGAGGAAGGACAGCGCTCGTCCACCTGCTGCCATTAGATCCTTTCCTGGCCATGGCTCTGCAGATGCTGGAGCCGGAGCCGGGACAGAGGTGAGGAACTGGGAGGAGACAGCCACGCCACAGTGGCTCCTCAGAGACTTGAGGCGCTCAGCCTCTGACTCCTTCCTAGAGGCCACCACTCCTTTATTCCCATCTTGTCTCCCTGATGAGCCCCCTTGGTGGTTACTCGAGAGCCCTGTCGCCTCCAGCTCAGTGGGTGCCCACAGATGCCACTTTGCAGGTTGGGTCAGCTGGCGAGGTGCTGGAATCTTCTGGTGATGCTGCTCTTTCTGTCCCCCCTGAAGCTACTTCACTCCCCACCACCTGGGCTCTAGGCCTGCCACTCCCCCCTCCCTGCCCCAATGGCACTGCAGAGCCACACTCCCCCCACCCCCCCCACCCCCCCACCCCCGTCCAGGTGTCTTCATTTTCTCCCTGGCTTGGCCTTCCCATTGTTTAGGAAACTGAATCAATGAGGCCAATGGCTACACTTTCTGGGCTATGGGTAGGGAGGGCAGTGGTAGAGGAGGAAAGCCACTTGACTTAGTCATTCTACCATCTTTAAAGCATATATATTTCTGACTCTGAAGAGGTACCAAATTTTATTTCCACCCTTAAATATTTCCTGAATCTGCCCTATTCAAGCTGCCCTCTACCCCCATTAACGCAAAAGCCTCCCAGCCTCCACTTTTTTTCTGCCCACTCCTCACCCCTCCTGTACCCGTGTCACCCACCACCCTACACGTTGCTACCAGGCAAATCATCTTTATTCCCATTCTCTCATTCAAGAACCTACAGTGCCTCACTATGTTCAGCTGCATCTTCTGAGCAGGTGGACCCCACAACTTGGCCCTACGCGCCTGCCTTCCCCACAACCCCAACTCAGCACCCCATCCATCGGGTCCCTCCACGGCCCCACTGTGCTGGCTCAGCTTCCCCCCACCCCCGCCCCCCTACCCCCCGCCTTGGCTCCCCTGCCCCTCCTTCAGATGCCTCCTGAGAAGATGGCCTCCAGACATAAACAAAACCTGGGAGGTTGAAGCCCAGAAGAGCTTCCAAGGAGGCTTTCCAGGTGGCAGTGGTTCTGGTCCCTGACTGGACAAGTCAGCAGCCACTGGGACACGGCTATGCCACAGGAACCCCAAGGCAGAAAGTCCTGTTTACCCATGAGCCCTCACCAGACTCTCATTCTGAGGCAATTCCTGGGAAGATTTCCGCTGTGTTTAAATTAAAGGCTACGGTCACTCCACGGCTCCTGCTCGGTGTCCCCCACCTGCAGCGCACCTTTCCTTACAGATCAGCTCTGCTGTAGCTCCAGGAGGGGCTCCTGCCGTTCAGCCCACACCCGGCTCCCTCCGTGACCTTCTTTCTATGCCCTCAGCACGCAGGGCCCGTCCCACGTCCCACCTGTCTGTTTCATGGATCTTAGTTTTTCTCCCCAGCCAGGCTGTGAAGTGGGAAAGTGGTGGGCGTTCCTCAAGCACAGGTTTTTGTAAGCATCTGGTTCCTCACTCACCCAGGAGCCTATCGTTGAATATGGCTGCTCATGGAGCTTGCTCCTGTCAGAGGAATCCAAAAGCTAGAGCTCCCAGAAGTTACAGTTTTCCTTCTAAGTTCACCAGCTGGCTGGTTTATATATCAGTGCTGTAAGCTGGGCTAATGGGAAACCCTCCCTGAGAGATGGGATGTTTCTCACCTGTTCTGACAAATCAGGGAGAGAGGCCAGCCCCCAGTTAGGGTAGATTTGAGGAAGAGGGGTCCTGGTTCGAAGGACACAGACAGGCAGCCTTCTCTTGGGGAGGCCTGACCTTGACATAGCTAAGCAAGCCTTTTCTTTTGAGTCATCTGGAGGGATCTACATTTTTTTGTTTTGTTCTGGATGAACAAAATACTTTACTATCAGTCAGATTTCTATATTTACAAAACATGACAACCATGTCTATTTACATTAACAGGATGACTGGTAGCCTTTCAGCTTTTAGCCATTTTCTTTCTCTACAATAAACAGAAATAAAGGGCAGTAGATAAACTGAAGTGAACAAAAGCATGACAGGTCTGCAAGCCAGTGCCAGTAACAAGTTACAATTATTTCAGCTACTTATCAGGAAAAGGAAAAGGAATTGTAGGATCTGTTGCAGCCACTCTGGAAAACCAAACAAAAATCCATGGCAGTGACAGGACACCAGCAGCTGCAGTTTCTCTACCTTGGAGATGGTGGCGTGGCCCAGAATGTGATCAGGAGAGGTGGGCTCCTCAATCCACAGAGGCTTGAACTCGGCCAGCTTTGCCATCCACTCCACTGCCTCGGGCACATTCCAGCGCTGGTTGGCATCCATCATCTGTAAGGAGAGATCCTTCGTGGTGAGGTCTGCCAGTGCTGACCTTGCAGGGCTGTGGCTCCTGGGCAGCAAATGTCACTCGGTGCCACCTGCCAACAGAGCGAGGGAGCCTGACATTTCTTCTTTTGGAGGATCAGCAAGCAGCCGTAATAAAGGAAGCCAAAGAGCAGCCACAGAGACCAGGATTTTGGCTACAGATACTGCAAGTCCTCAAATAACGTCACTACATTATAATGTTGAGATGCTGTAGGAATTTAACTCTTGTTTATATCAGTTAGACTACGGTAAAATTGATTCTGTGATAGATCATTTCACTCAGAGTCACAGACCCTATCAACAACATTGAGGACTTACTGTATCTTCGAAGGAGATGTCCAGAAGGGCCCATGACGGTGCTCACAGGCCCTGGAGCTCTGACCCAATCTGCATTTAGATGCCACCCGAAAACATCTGTGTTGCAGTGTTCATTGTTTGTAGGAACCGCTTTATCACATTCTGAATCATACGCAGCCAATACTAAGTTTATTCAATGGTCATTTATAGGTGGCTGGCACGATAACAAATAATCCAAACTCCACCATTAATTTAGCACCTATGCCACTAGGCATTTTATGCATTTTGTCTAATGTTTATAATAACTCTATGAGGCAGTTCATATTAACCCATTTTACAGATAAGAAAACTGATATGCAGAGAAGTAATTTTCCCATGAATAAGTCAAGTAAATGGTGAGCTCAAGTCTAGGCCTCTCACTCCAAGGCCCTAGCTCTCTGTGTGCAGAGATCCTGCTTGGAAGCCAGGTGCTGGGTATGCAGAAACTAACAAAGGACTCTTCCATCCCCGACATTATCACGCTAGTGATAGCAATTTTCAAGTACAGCAATCTCTAGTACAGCAATTTTCAACCTTTTCACCTCTTGGCACACATAAACTAATTACTAAAGTACTGTGGCACATAAAAAATACAGTTTTTGTTGATCTGACAAAAAAAAAGGGTATAATTTTGATTTACAAATACACACACACACACACACACACACACACACCCAAAACAGTAATTACCTACCCTTTTTGCTCTAAAGTGACTTTAAAAAATCAGATGCTTATGTCCTGGCAGGTGTGGTCCCGTCACCGAAAGGTTGCCAATTCAATTTCCAGTCACGGCACATGCCCAGGTTATGGGCTCGATCCCTGGTAGGGGGCGTGCAGGAAGCAGCTGATCAATGTTTCGCTCTCACATCTGTTTCTCCCCCTCTCTCTCTACAAAAAAAAGACAACAAAAAAAAAATCAGGTGCCTATACTTTGTATATAAGGATTTCTGGCACCAGGAATTAACCAATCAGATGCTACCTAATGTGACGTGGGGCAACTCTATTATATGACCTATATACTTATGGTTCAAGACAGGGCACTTACACACAACAGCTACTGTTTGGTTGGCTGTTGTCATATTTTTACTTGACAGTCCAAGGGAAGAGAGGTCAGTGCCCCTGACTAAATACTCAGATATTGAAAGTTTTAACAATTCTTGCAGCACACAGGTTGAAAACTGTTGTGCCATGTGGTAAGAGTGCCCTCATGAAACATTATGAGACCCAGAAGACAGTACACACAGAATCAATCCTATATAATAAAAGGCTAATATGCAAATCGACTGAACGATGAAACGACTGGTGGCTATGATGCGCACTGACCATCAGGGGGCAGACGCTCAATGCAGGAGCTGCCCCCTGGTGGTCAGTGCGCTCCCACAGGGGGAGAGCTGCTCAGCCAGAAGCTGGGCTCATGGCTGGGAAGTGCAGTGGCGGTGGCGGCAGCGCTAAAGATGTCTGACTGCCGGCTTAGGCCTGCTCAGGGCCTAAGCCGGCAGTCAGACATCCCCTGAGGGCTCCCGGACTGCGAGAGGGCACAGGCCGAGCTGAGGGACCCCCCACCCTGAGTGCACGAATTTCATGCACTGGGCCTCTAGTTATTATAAATAATTTTGATGAGGATGACCTCATAAGACAAAAGTAGCATTAATTCATGTATAAATAATGGGACATCTGATCCTAGACCAAGGACTCCAAACTTCTATTTTAACTTAGGAAATAAGTCTCTAAAACTTCATAAAAACATCTTATTGTGACTTCTTTTTATAAAAGTACTAAGGGCCCATTGCACAAATTCATGCACCTTGAAAGGAACTGTGGGTTTCGAGGCTGTGGTGGACACAGGGGCAGGTCTCGGCCCATCCTCCACACCCCCACCAGGCACCTCCCGTCGTGGCCCCCATCCCCTGTCTGCCAGCAGCCCCGCTCCCGCCGCCTCTCCCACACGCTGATGGTGCAAAGCAATTGGGGCCAGCACCCTCAGCGGGTGCAAGTGGCGGTTGCTGCCCCGATCACCCCTGAGGGCTTCTCCACCGCTGACAGCACCAAGCGATCAGCACCAGTGCAGCAGCGGGTGCGAGCAGGGCCAGCGCCGGCAGCAGGTGTGAGTGACACGTGGGAGCAAAAAATGTTCAGTAACCACCAGAGGCTCACCCTGATGACAGCAACCAGCACCCCGCCTTTTATGACTTCCTTTTATAAAAATATTTTACACATAATAAGAAATGTTTTTAAAACTACACAGTTAGGAATACTGGTCCTTTCATTTATCTCAGTAAAAGTTCCAGCATTTCTTCAACAATAGCTCCCTGAGACGCACTTATCTAATGAGCTAGGAGTTGGTTGGACTTGTTAAGACGGGAGATCAAATGTTTGACACACGGGGGCACCAATGGGAGACCTGTATCTCAGCTGCATTCATTTTAGCAAGAAACCCTAATCTTGATCGGAACTAGTTCTGCAGAATAAGAAAATTTTAAACTATCAGCCCCCTCCATTGTGTGGGGTTTTTTTTTAAAAGGTTCATCTACTATAACAAGACCACAAAGCTGTACTTCCTCTGGCATTCAGTTGTAAAGTTCCCAATGTTTTTTAATCTTTACTTGAAATGAATTGTAGTTTGGCCCTGGACAAAGGCTTGTTTCTCAGTGGGAGGAGAGGATATTTACCAAAGTCTTCTCAGGTCCAATCATGTTTCTGATGAGTCGGCATCTGTGGATGTCATCCTGGAGATCGGCACCAACTTCCACCTTAAACCTGTAAGATCAATTCGGTTTGATAGTTCACGTCCCCTGACTTAGGAAAGAGAGCTGGATTTCCTGTGGAAGTGACCGTCTCTGTCAATAATTCACAGATCACATTCTCTAGTAACTTCTTGCTCTTTCCTCATCAATCTTCAGACAAATCACTTGAAAAAAACACACACACCTGTTTTTCCAAGTAAAGAACGGTATCTCTTTGCTCACCACCAGGTCAATGACCGTCAATTACCTGCTGACCTAAAGTGTGAAGGAACTTGAGAGAGCAGTTAGATCTTTACTAACACTAACTGGGTGTTTGCTGCCCCCTGAAAAAGAATTAAGAACGCAAAAGCCACAGACTTGAAGAGGAGAGGAGGGGCCTGGGAAGGAGTGCTGAGTAAGCCATCCTGTTAGCTCCCGAATGAAGAGTACTCGTGATAAAACACCCTTCTCTACATGGTCCTTTATAAGAGGGCTTCCTCCTCCATCAACTCAGTGAGAGGCGGACCCCGTAGTGCAGGGGCCTGAGATGTGGGGGTTGAAGTGATTTGGTCACATAATCACTTGCAGCAGCAGAGATCTCCTTGACATCACAGCTGGCCACATTAGGAGCTTCCTTCATCTGTTTGGACACTCATCTTGAGACCTGGGCCCCCACACTGTTCCCCATGATTCTGCCGAAGCTGTTGTCTGGCTTTGCCAGGGGAGGCACGGAGTGTGACACTGCCATGCGGGAGAGGTGCCACCACCACGGTGAGGCCGGCATCCTCTCCCTGGCTCTCCAGGCTCTCTGCCCTGCACACTCAATATCCAGGCTGCTGCTCCAGAAGAACCTCTCCTTTCCACGACGCCTACCCTCTGTGCCAACAAAGCCCCCGTGCAGAACAACACGCACACGCAGGCGTCTGCTGCCATTCTCTCCCCTCCGCTAGGGGCTAGACACATTTCCATCCCAGGTGGGAGCGTCAGCTTCTGGATGCAGCTTCCTGGGGCGGGGGCCTCTGCAAGTTCTCCTCAGCCTTCCCTGGCTCACCAGCTACGACTGCTCCAGGCTCTCCTGGTTACGTGCAGAGAGGGAACGGGGCAGCATTTGCTAAGCACCTGCTAGGAATCCTAACTGTACCGGTCTTTTTCAGATACAGCAACTCTGAGGGGAACCATGAGTTAATATTATTCCTGCCCTAGCCGGTTTGTCTGAGTGGATAGGGCGTCGGCCTGCGGACTGAAGGGTCCCAGGTTCGATTCCGGTCAAGGGCATGTACCTTGGCTGCGGGCACATCCCCAGTAGGGAGTATGCAGGAGGCAGCTGACTGATATTTCTCTCTCATCGATGTTTCTAACTCTCTATCCCTCTCCCTTCCTCTCTGTAAAAAATAAATAAAATATATTTTAAAAATTAAAAATATATATATTATTCCTTATTTACAGGCAGAGAGAACATGAGGTTCAGAGAAGTTGAGCAACTTGCCCATGATCACACAGCAAGTACTTGCAGGCGATGAAGGAAAAAGGTAAGATTTGATTCAGAATTCATCACATTTCTAAGCCTCTTCCCACAGCATCATGCTGCCTCCTTCAAGTCCTCACTCCCCCATCCTGTATTTAGCTGAGCAGTTCACAAGATTTCAGCCCTCTCAAACACACACATCACCCAGGGGTCTTGTTAAAAGGAAGATTCCGACCCAGCGGGTCTGGGGGGAAGCCTGGGAGTCTGCATTTCTGACCACCCAGGGGAGGCTGATGTACTTGTCCCACAGACCACACCCTGAGCAGCAAGCGGCCAGGCAGCCAGACTGAGAGCCATGGAAAACCTGGTGACTTATCCCAGCCAACGAGCCTCCTTGAGCTGCACTGATGCTCACAGTGACTAGGTTAAGAGATGATGGTCTGTATTCTGCACTGTGTCAGGATCCAGAGCCACTGACAGCCAGGTTATCCAGAGGAAGATCCTAGGCTGCCAGGGCTCCACAACCATGCAGGAGGGAGACAGGAGAGAAAAGGAAAGGGTGATTCTGGAGAGGACACAGCCCAGGGGAAGAGAGGGGCTATCTCAGGAACCAGACTCCTGGGAACTCTGAAGATTTGGGACCAGCGACTGGAAGTTACATGGAAACAAAGAGCTCACGACACTGAAGCTCTTACTAACACGCAAAGCCCTCCAATCACGCAAAAGTGCCTCATAAAGTTATGCTTGCTGCTTCTGAAGGTTTTCAAGTAAAAGCTGAATCAGCGCTTGTTACTGATAGTGAAGCGTGGATTTCTCGGAATCTGCTTACACCGATTGGTGCTTGAAACCAGCGATCCCCAAGGTCTCTTTCAGCTCTGATGTTCTAAGATTCCAATTAGGACTCATGTCTCATCTTTGAAAAAAGAGCCTGGCTTGGGCTGAAACATCTCTTAGGTGTCCCTGCACGTCAGACTGCTCCTGGGAGAACCCTAGCCTTCTTAGTGCCCTCTGATCCTGGCTCTTCTCCACTGCCGAGCCTCTTGTGCTGCCAAGTGGAAAGGTCAAGTTCATTACCACACAAATAAGTTACCTGGTCCAGCCGCCCTTCAGTGCCTCGGTGCAGAGCTGCGGGGAGAAGAGCACAGCCATCACCAGACACTGAAAAGCTCTCTTGGTCTAACGAGCACCTCAGTCATTTCTGATCTGGTCCCACAAATGCTGTGGCTGCAGCAGGACCAGAAGGACAGCCGTGTGTTGTTTAAATTCAGAGCAGAAACAGCTTAGCCAACAGCGTAACTCTTGGTATTTGCAGGGTGACTTTCCTTCCTCGTGTCTATGGGAACCATTTCTCTCATCGTCACAACACTCCTGCAGGAGGAATGGAGCACTCATATCCCTCTTTTTAAAGCTCTAATATTCTGTAGCATCCACAGAACTAGTGGGTGTAAGAGCAAGAAACAGAATCTAGTCTCCCTCGCTTTCTCTCAGCTGTGGGTGAGTATAGTATGAGGGGAAAGAGTGGTTAGTCAGCCCTACGATGATTGCATGCCATGTGCCAGGCACTGTGCTGCGAGCACTACACAACTTACAGCATTTTTCTGAATCCTCAAATCCCCCTGGAGGTAAAAGCCTGTTTCCCCATCTCACAGTGAGGAAACTGAGGCTCAGCTAGATTGCATGTACCATTTGCACACAGTTACGCTGCTGCCTCTGCTTGGGAATCAAATCCTAGGCTGTCGCCTTTCAGAACCCGAGGTGGGAGTCACGGGGAGTCCCAGCCTGTGTCCCCATCCTCTGTCAGAGTCCCATGTCCCCAGTGTGAATGGCGTTGCTTTTGCTCAAGTATAAGTACTTCCAGAATGAGGCCTTAGAGTTGTAAGGATTTAGAAAGGCTAACAAGAAAATATTAAAACCCTTCCAGAACGCCTTTTCATTATTGTCAAGTATAGAAAATATCTTGAGATAGAAACCAAGATGGCGGCATAGGTAAACACCAAAATTGCTGCCTCCTACAACAACTTCACAAATACAACAAAAAGACAAAACGGACATCATCCAGAACTACAGGAAGGCTGGCTGAGTGGAAATTCTACAACTAGAAGGAAAGAGAAAAGCCCACTGACAGTCAGGAGCTGCGGAAGTAAAGTGCAGAGGTACGGAGGCTCGAGCGCCCGCGGAAAGGGGCTGGTACCGGAGGACGCGGCTGTCTTTTTGAATCGGGAGGGAGTCACAAGCTCCCAACTGCTCTGAACTCCAGTTCCGGGAAGTCTCTGGGGACCCAGGACTCATAAGGGGAGAAACTGGACTGTCTGGCAGCGGCAGAACTCGGAACTCGAGGGCGGCTTTCCCTCAGAGGTGCTTGCAGCAATTAAATTACGGGGACACTGAGACACGCGGCCCCTTAGGGCAGGGCTGAGGATCTGCCATAGCTGCTTGCTCCGCCCTGTTGATTCCTTGAGACCCCGCCCCACCCAGGCTGTTGCAGAGGCTTTTGCATATGAATGCCCTGGCCCTTTGCAACCTGAAAATTACCTAACAAATTACAGCTGGGCCAGACAGACCCAGAACTTCCAAGAGAAGGCCCAAGGCCCCACAGCAGCTTGCACTGCTTCACAGCTGGGCCTCATCTGGGCACCTCCAAACTCCAAAAAAGGAAGGGGAATCTGCAGATCTTTTCGTAGCTCCTGCTGGGTAACCTCAGGCAGAGGCTAAATTAGCACCTCCTTAGATCCAAGAGCCAGTGTACCCAGTGGTCAGAGTGGGACCATCCAGATTACAACTCCTCAGATCCATAAGGGACACACTCAGGGCGCAGACTCAGTGAGCACCAAAGCCCCACTGAAGCAAGTCTTGCCCCAGAAGGGTGTCTTCAGCACAGAAGTTCTCCCACTGCAGACACAGCTGATTCTCACAGACAATTGTCCTGGAGGTCAATTCCTCCCAGTGATACCTACAACAATCAAGGCATAACTACAACAAGACTGTGCACAAAGCCCACAAGGGGGTGCACCAAGAGTGTCCACCTCAGGTAACTGGGGAGGCTGAGCCACTGGGCCCTATAGGACACCTAGCACACAAAACCACTCTACCAACACAGGGAAGCATAAAAAATGCAGAGACAAAGAAACAGGTCACAAATGACAGAAATGGAGGAAAGCAAACGACTGGATATAGAGTTCAAAACCACGTTTATAAGGTTTTTCAAGAATTTTCTAGAAACCGCCGATAAATTTAGTGAGACCCTGGAGGATATGAAAAAAGACCAACTAGAAATTAAGCATACACTGACTGAAATAAAGAATAATATACGGAGATCCAACAGCAGACAAGAGGATCCCAAGAATCAAGTCAAAGATTTGAAATACGAAGAAACAAAAAATACCCAACCGAAGAAGCAAAAAGAAAAAAGAATCCAAAAATATGAAGATAGTGTAAGGAGCCTCTGGGACAACTTCAAGCGTACCAACATCAGAATTATAGGGTGCCAGAAGAAGAGAGAGGGCAAGATATTGAAACCTATTTGAAGAAATATTGACAGAAAACTTCCTCTACCTGGTGAAAGAACTAGACTTACAAGTCCAGGAAGCGCAGAGAACCCCAAGCAAAAGGAATCCAAAGAGGACCACACCAAGACACATCATAATTAAAATGCCAAGAGCAAAAGACAAAGAGAGAATCTTAAAAGCAGCAAGAGAAAAAAAGTCAGTTACCTACAAGGGAGTACCCATACGACTGTCAGCTGATTTCTCAACAGAAACCATGCAGGCCAGAAGAGAGTGGCAAGAAATATTCAAAGTGATGAATAGCAAGAACCTACAACCAAGATTACTTTACCCAGAAAAGCTTTCATTCAGAATTGAAGGTCAGATAAAGAGCTTCACAGATAAGAAAAAGCTAAAGGAGTTCATTACCACCAAACCAGCATTATATGAAATGCTGAAAGGTATTCTTTAAGAAGAGGAGGAAGAGAAGGGAACTCTTACTCTTACCATTTGCCACAGCATGGATGGAACTGGAGAGCATTATGCTAAGTGAAATAAGCCAGTCAGAGAAGGATAAATACCACATGATCTCACTCATTTGTGGAATATAATGAACAACATAAACTGATGAACAAGGACTGATCCAGAGACGGAGAGGCATTGATTGGACTGTCGGGCCTTGGAGGGAAGGTGGGGGGGGTGGAGGTAAGGGGAAAAGATCAACCAAAGGACTTATATGCAAGCATATAGGCCTAACCAATGGACACGGACAACAGGGGGGTGAGGGCATGAGCGGGGGCGGGGGGGGGGACGGACGTGGGGATAAGGACACATATGTAATATCTTAATCAATAAAATATATTTTTAAAAAAAAGAAAATATCTTGAATTCACAACATAACACACCATTAAAGATGAAATAAAATGAATTTTCAGTTAGTCTAATACATGCAAAATGTTAAAGTACATGAAAACACTAGTCATAAACATTAAGTTGCTTACTATTATTGACTTACTTATAATATAATACATTTTTCATCAGTAATTTGAAGGTTAAAGTTAATTTGGGTCAGCATAATCATCCATTACTTATTTTTGGTGTTTTATTGAAAAGGCTTAATTTTGTTATTTCAGATGAAAAATAAGTGAAGTAACAAATTGAATGGGAATTTCTTTCTATCCTTTGCTCAGCCTATAAAATACTTCATCTATGTGTAAATGAGAAAGAAATTTTCTGTAAGCTTACTGTGTTACAGGGGACATAACCAAAATAATCAAATCATCAACTTATGCCCAAAGCAATTAATTTATTAGAAAAAATTGTTATAAGCTTGTTGGGTGTTACCATTGCTTCAATATTAAAATTCTCGGTTCATTTACTAGGATGATTGCTGAGGTACTGTTTTACTATGAATCATATCCTGGGAGAAAGACCTTTGAAAGTATTTGAAACATGCTCTTAGGACATACATGGCCTCTGGGTGAAAAAGCTCTCAGATGATACTTGTTCTCATATGGAGCATCAGGGCTGAACCAACCACCCGGTGTTTCCTAGGGCTTTTGTTAATGGGATACGGAATCATTATAGTGCAGATATTCATACCCTACTGTTGAGAGAAGACAGAATCCTTCAGCCCTTGATGGTTGGTGCTCTTGCATTAAAGCCATTTGAAGAGAGAGTGACTCAGAGAGAGGTGTACCATTATCTACATCAAACCTTCGTCTCACCGATGAGATGGTTGCTAGACATCACTGACGGAAGCACAGCTCTGGTTTGTGTCACAAAGACAAGAGCATTTAACTAAAGCTAAGGATGATCTCATCTTACAGCTCTAAGAGACGCACAAGCAACACCGATATATTCACCTATAGCAGTGATTTTCAACCGTTTTCATCTGATGGCACACATAAACTAAATACTAAAATTATACGGCACACCAAAAAGTATACTATATGTTTTGCTGATCTGACCAAAAAGAAATAGGCAAAATGTTGATTCATTCATACTGTTGTGTTGGCTGTTGTCATTTTTTTATTTGACAGTCTAAGAGAAAAGAGGTCAGTGCCCCTGAATAGTCAGGTATTGCATGTTTTAAAAATTCTTGCAGCACACCAATGTGCCTGCCATGGAACTCCAGCTGAAAATCGGTGGATGTTACTTGCTCAAACTGAGGCAAGAAGTTAACTAAGTTTGATGCATTCGATAAAAATTTGGGTTGTGGTAGTCTGATTCCAGTGTGGAGAAAAAGTCCACTTCAGGTTTGAATGTCTGATGCAATAGCTGGGAAATTCATCTAGGGAAAAAAATGGCCCTTGAAGGCAGCTTCTTGCTGACTAAACTCAGGGGTCCTCTGCTGTGCCACATCACTCAGGACTCAACTCATGGACCTTCCACCATGGGAAGGACAACCATGGCTTCTGAGCCTGAGTGCTGATGGGAACCCTTAAGGCTGCTTTTGGTCTCTAAAAATTCCTTCGCTTTTCCTTTTCTTACTTAAAAACAACTGTATTGGTCTATTTAATACATTAAAAAAAAAAAGGTAATCCACCCTCCCCCCCGACTCCACACACACACACACACACACACACACACACACACACAAGCACTCTCTTCCTGGTAATGAGGAAAGGCTATTTTCTTTCTCTTTTTTTGGATCATAAAAGAATGATTAGGTAAGTAATCTGATAAAGGATGCAGGAGAAATGTGATGAGCTCATGGGTTTTTTTTTCATCTTTAATGTGAATACCTTGTAACACATTCCGTGAAACTACAGTGAGTCGCCTGATTTATGTAGCAAGGCTAAAGTTAAAATGGATTCTGTCATGTTGTGGTCTGAAAAAGGCAGAAGCCAACAACATCACCACAAAAGAGCCACTTAGTAAAGTCGTAAGGAGATGGAAATCGACTTACCCCTGCCTGAGAAGTCTATCAGGACAGCCGGGTGGGGTGGGCTTGGAGGAGGGGAGAGACTGTGCAGGCCCTAACGCGCTGAACTCAGCAACTAGCCCAGAAGAGCCTCGCCTCGCGTCTGTGCTAGGAGCATCACTGTGCACAGAGTCCCTCCACTGTGAGCGAGTCAGCAGAGTTCAAAGTCTTGGCTGTTAACAGAGAGTGGTTACAATGGCTTGCCCCAGAACGTATTTTGTAACCTTGCTGAGTTTTATGCAACCCTTGGGGTCGCCCTGTATGGTCTGAAGCATGGAGAAAGCAGGTTCATAAAATGCTCAACTTAAATCAGAGGCAAGTCACAGGAGAAGCTGGAAACACAGCTCACAAATGCATCAAGGTCAGTGGTCACTGCCTTGGGGCTTAACGAAGAGGACAGGGAATTATGCTGAGTTTCCTCCCTTCTGTCTGGCAAATTCTTGGTTACCCTTCAAGGCTCATCTCAAAGCTCCACCACCGCTCTGAAGCCACCTCTGACCCGCCTGGACAAGAAATCAAGCCTCTCTCCACGTGACTTTTTAAAAATAGCTCTTCTAAAAATACAGTTCTCACACTGCACTATTATTTCTTTTGCGTGTCACCCGAGGAGTTTGTGCATTTCTTCTCCTTAAATGTAGAACTGTCTCCTTTCTCTCTTTTTACTTTTATTTTTTAAATATATTTTTATTGATTTCAGAGAGGAAGGGAGAAGGAGAGAGAGATAGAAACACCAAGGAGGAGAGAGAATCATTGATGGCTGCCTTCTGCACATCCCCGCACTGGGGATCGAGCCCACAACCTGGGCATGTGCCTTGACCGAGAATTGAACGTGACCTCCTGGTTCACAGGTCAATGCTCAACCACTGAGCCATGCCAGCCAGGCTCCTTTCTCTCTTTTAAACATTCTTATCTCCAGCACCTAACAAAGTTCTTGATACACGTGAGCACCGAAGAGGAGTTTGTAGAAGGACTGACTGATGGCGTGATGGAATGCCATCTCTGTAGAAAGCTGGAACAGCGGCCACCTTGGTAGTATCCACTTACAGTTCAAGAAAGTTTCCCTTGGTGCTCTCTCTCTCTGTCTCTCTTTCTCCCTCCCTTCTTCTCTCCCTCTCCTTTTATCTGCTCAACAATATTAAAATCTTTCAGTGGGGCAAGACTTTGATTCTACAGCTAAGAGTGTTGATGGTGCAAATATCCACAGAGAATCACCACCACAGTTAGTGGCTAGTTGAGCAGCTGTCTGGATCTCAATTTCCTTATTCTGAAAACTGAGGGACTCAAGACCACCTCTGAGCTCTGGTCCAGCTCTGAGAGAAGGACAACTAACTCATGGCTTAATGTGCATCCTACACAATCTGCTCTTCCCAGATGGGAGCTCTGACATTGGGCAGGGCCAAAGGCCTTTTCTGCATGAAGAGCAATGAACTTGAAACCAACTCAGTGTGAAGTATTTTGAAAAATTAGTAGACTCACTGTGTACATCACGATAAGCCTTGCTATGTGAGTGCACATCAGTCCCTCCCATGTCCCTGAGTCACTCGCCTAGTTCAGGTCCTCAAAGCTCTGCAGAGAAATGGACTGAGATGCAAGGAGTGTCCCGTAGTCTGTCCATGAGTACAAGGGGAGGGCCAAATTCTGCCACTTTTCATTTCTCCCAATGAAATGAAGAAAGCATGAAAGATTGTTTTCACTCACTTTGAGCAGCAAATACAGAGAAAGGCCAAACTGGAATCTCAGTGAAATTTAAGCATTCTGGAACCTTATGAGAATGTTCAACTCACCAACTTCAGTGCCTCTTCCCAGAGTGAAAGTAATTCCATGCCCCCTGAGTCCATCTTCCGCATCAGTCTCTAAGACGACATAGGCAGCCGAGTAGTCAGGGTCCGTGTGCTGCAGGGAAAATATCCCCCACCCACACAACACACACATGAGAAATCTGAAACCTGACCGTGACATCACTAAGAGTAGAAAACACAACGGGAGATATGCTAGAAAAGCTCCAATCTGATGGAACCCTGGATAGACCCCAAGGAAAACGCAGGCACTCTCTTTGGACAACAGTGATGTTCTCTTGAAGGAGTCAAGTAATCTTAACAAGTGCACTGCGGACACTTTCCATGCCAGTGTGCAGGTGTGTCTCCTTTGACGGTCAGCTCAATTTTAAACCCACGAGTTTCATCCACAGCTATATTCACAATCAGCTTCAAACTGCACAAGCCAAGGTTTTAGAAATTCCCACATAAAATTGGATTTCTCTTCATTGCAACCATTGAGAGCAGGATGTTTTTAAGGTGAGTGTTTTTAAAGTCATGTACCATAATATAAGAAAAGAGACATAAAGATTTTAAAAGGCAGTAAGAACTTAATCTCAGAAGAAAGGACATTCTTTTAAATGTAATAACTTTGTTTAGGTAGTATTTTTAAATGAGAGGCCTATTTTTATAAAATATTTCAGGTACACAAAGAGCACAGGTAATGAACATCAGTGTGCCCCCCACCCACTTAAGAAGCACAATGTTAACAGTGTGAACTGGAGTCCTTAGGGACCCATTCTCTTCCCCCACTCAGGTGACAAATCACCATTGTTGTCACATGAATGTTTCTTTTTTTTTTTTTTAATATATTTTTATTGATTTTCTACAGAGAGGGAGAGGGATAGAGAGTTAGAAGCATCGATGAAAGAGAAACATCGATCAGCTGCCTCCTGCACACCTCCCACTGGGGATGTGCCCGCAACCAAGGTACATGCCCCTGACCGGAATCGAACCCGGGACCCTTCAGTCCGTAGGCTGATGCTCTATCCACTGAACCGAACCAGCCAGGGCACATGAATGTTTCTTACTTCCCAGCATGTGTTCACACATTCATACCCATCCTACCTTGTTTTTCTAGTGTAGTCAACTCATCAATGGACCAAGTGGGGGCAGTGAGGATCCAGTGGGTGACAGGCCTCAAAGAGACCCGGGGCCGAACTCATGTATATTGGAACCATTGCACTTAGACGGTGGTGGTGGTGATGCTCCTCTATCACTTTGGTAAGCAAAGCGCCCTTCAGTATTTAGGTAGGAGTCAACGTCGGTGCCTTTACTGCATCTCCAAAGATTGGTATTTGCCTAACTCTTTACAGTGACAAGTCCTTTCTAACCACATTTTCAGTCCTTTCACGAGAGCCCCCTCTCACATGACTCAGTTACTAGGAGCTTGTTTGTCTGGCTTCCCAGCCAGACTGTGACTCCCTCATTTCATAGAAGGGCCCAAGAGGTCCAGAGGGATTAGGGACTTAGCCAGGTCACACAGCAGGCTGTGGCATAGGCAGGATCGCCACCAAAACGCCCAGCACCGGCTTCCTGGTCCCCAACACCAAGTTCTCAGTGCAGAAGCAGCCAGGGTTGTATGCTAGGGTTCTGTTACTTATTACGCCTTTCTACCCTTTCCAGCAAGATGTGGAGTGTAAATGTAAAAACAGAAATATCCTACGCCAGCAAAAATGAAAGAAAAGAAAAAACCCGGGAGGGTGGAACGTTTCTGTTTGCTTTCGCTCCTTTTCCCAGCCGCCCCTTTACAAACTCTTGCAAAGTTGGGAGCCTCCCAGGGCTGGCGGGGCTCCCCGCGCCTAAGCGGGCCCTGGCGTGGGCAAGGCGGGAGGGCACCCGGAGGTCGGTCAGCGCTCACCATGGCGTCCGAGCCGTGGCCCCCGAGTGACGTGGGGAAGCGCACGTAGCGGTCGGAGAGCCGGGAGATGCTGCCACCCACCATGCCGCCGCGCACCCGCAGCTGCCCGGCCACACCGACGGGTGACGGGCGCGATCCCCGGTGCGCAGCGGAAGAGCGGCGGGAGGGGGCAGAGCCGGGCGCTGATTGGCTGCGCGAGCCGCGGCGCACAAGGGGGCGGGGCAGTGCGCGTGAATTTGGCTGGACCGGAGCTGCCGGTCTGGTTTCTGGTTCCCCCGGACCTACCGGCATTCCTGCAGAGCGTTTGCGCCCCGCGCTGGCCACTGCTTCCCTGCGCTGATCGGTCAGGGTCGCTGCAGACCCTGAGGCCAGGAGGCGCCCCCGAACCCCCCAGCCCCCCGCTCCTTTCGGCTTGCCAACTCGGGAGGTGACCTTCCGAAAGCGGCGCCCGAAGAAAGACGCCGGGTCTGACCACGGGCTCCGCTTCTGAGCCCGCAGGTTGTGGTCCCCGCAGCCAAGGGGAACTGCGGGCGAGAAAATTCGACGAGTCTTTAAGTGACTTAAGCCTCAGTTTGCCACCTGATAAATTAAGAGGCGGGTCATCATCTGTTACACCCCTGCTAATGTAAAACTGAAACTCACGAACACAAACAGCAGTGTGGTGGTTGCCAGAGAGAAAGGGGTGAGGAGGGAGGGGGTTCCTAATATAAGGTGACAGGAGAAGATTTCACTTTGGGTGGTGGGCACATGGTGCAATATACAGATCTTGTGACATAGAAACACACACCTGAACCTTTATGTTCATGTTAACCAATGTCACCCCAATCAATTTAATAAAAAATAAATAAATAAAAAGCACTGTGCTTTAAAAAGGCACCAGACACAAGTGGCTATGTACTGTAAGATTCCATTTATATGAAATTCTAGAAATGTAAAATTATAGTGAGAAAACACTCAGGGTTTTCCAGGCTTAGGAATGAATGGAGGGGACTGACTGTAAAGAGGCATGAGGGAACTTTTTGGAAAGATGAAAAAGTTCTGTGGTACAAAAACCTTCAAGACCAAAAGTTGTCCTGAAAGAAAGGGTTTATTAAGCCACATGGTAGCCAGAGAAAGGACCAGGTTCTGGAGCATGCAGTCTAAAACAGCAGCAGGGCTAGATGAAGACAAACATGTCCACCATCCTGGCTCTTCATACATAAATTTTGGAGGCGAGGTAGGGAGCGAATTAAGTTGTTTGGAAAGAATTTGCATTGGCTATAGATAAGGGTGGGGGCGGGAGGAGATTGGGGGAAATTCTGGGATGTCAAGAGTCTGTAAGGAAGAAGTACTTGCTGCTAGAGTGGTTGTGGGCAAGTCTGGAAAGTTTATGCATAAGAATGCAGTGGCTTCTGACGGTCAGCTGTTCTTGCTAGATTATTGCTGAAATAGCTGCCCAAAAATTAATTCAAAGTTTCAACATACATTCAGGAATGTGGGCAATCAATATTTTGTTGGGTTTAGCCCGTGGCTACTCACTGATTAACTTCCCTTGTCTCTTCCTCCCAACCTCCCGCCTACTGGAATTTAATTTAGGACATCTCAGAATTTGTTCTCGCCAGTTGTATATCATGATTTTGGCAGTGGTTTCATGACTGCACAAATCTGTCAAAACTCATCTAATTGTTCACTTGATGGTGAATTTCATTGTATGTAAATAATAAACAAAAATGTGACTTCCCTCCTCCTCTTTGTACTTACTGAGTTTGAATTCTCTGAAATAGCACTAAAAACTTTCCAAGAATTCTCTTCTGTATTTGCTTTGGACTGGGTTTTGTCTAGGAATTTCTGTTAAACTGATGCCACCCTTTCTAATTTTCCAGCGATAATACGGATTACAAAACTAAACAGACAAACCAACAACCCAGATCTTTTGATCCTTTCAGGGGCATTAGAATAGGAGACATAAAAACATGCATTTAGTTTGCTAATCCCACAGTTATCTTTTCTCGATGTTTTAGGAGACCAAGGCTTTCCTTGAAAACAGTGCAATTATAAGTGAGTAGGAATGTGACAACCTTGAAGGTGTTGTAGCTTGTAGGAACGGTAACAAGTGCTAGACCAGTGGGGTCAGACTGGACAAACTCCATACATGGGTTCCGGCTAGGAAATAATTCAGAGCCAAGACCCAAACTATAAGAGAACATTTATTTGGTAAATCACAGAAGTAGAAGTAATTCCTAGAAGAAACGGGCTTAGGAAACAAGTTACAGAGTTAAAGGAAGGGCCCTTGGAGCTTGGGAGTGAGGAAGCTAATGGTAAGGCACATGGTGGGGGTGGGGGTGGGGAAATGGGAAGGAAAGGGAAAGGCAAAAGCTGGGCATACTCTCAGGAGGGAGAGTGTGCTGGGTAGGCCTAATGGTTTTAAGGGTGGAGATTTTAGGGGCGATCCCAGGGGAAGATCTCTATAGAATATTCAGCAGTTTTCCAGGTACGTCCTTTCAGGGTCATGGTCTCTTGATTGGTCAGTGCCAGAGTAGCTGGTCCTGAGGTCAGCCACATGGGGTCACTTGTCTGGTTTTGCTGCTTTTCTGGACTTTGAGCTGGAAATATAACTGAGACCTAAATGTTATCTCTAGGGAGGAAAGGTCACCCTGGGGTGAGGTCCTACCCTACCATTGTTCATTGCAAGACACCTGGGGCTTTCCACCCTGGTGACCTTCTTCTGTACTTGTCCCCATAGTCCTTGCTCATGTCTAACTGCCTACCACAAAAGGACAAACCACTTTAAATAATTCAGTTTTCTATTAGGATCACTGTCAATCCTTTTGGTCAACTGCAAAGCTTTGCTTTTTATGTCGCTGATCCCTATTACCACTTAGAATGGAGGCAGTTTTTTTGTTTGTTTTACTTGGGATTCTCAAAGTCCTTCAGCTTGCTTGTGCTAATTTGACCTTTAAGATGTCAATGAAGCTGGACTGAATTCCTTCCTCTTGTAGGTGGGAATTCTGGTGTCCCTCCCAGTATCTCTGGAAGTAAGTGGTAGACTTTTTTTTTTCTCTTCCACTTACCCAAATCAGTTTCTGTATTCATTTCCTCATTGCATTTAAACTGTTCAGTGTGAAACCCAATGTTCTTTTTGTATCTTGTCAACCCTTCTGGACATTACCCTAATCCCTTTAGTGCCCTAAATGCCACAGACCCAAGCCTGTGTGTAGCAGATTTGAAGGTTGATGATGGTATGAGAGCTGAGCAACTACCTTACAGTTGAGTATCAGACATGTTTTTTAAAGGTTGGGGCCATTCCTTGCTAGTAGGGAATTTTCACAAATTGTCTATTTAACTTAACTGTCATTGTTTTACTAATTTCCTGGATATTTCCTTTTCTTCCATTTCCTTTTTTATTTAACTCAGCACTCTCACCACCTCATTCCTATCCTTTAAAAAAAAAATCCAATTGATGAATTGAGTGATTCATTAAATTTTTGAATGGGGTGTTATAAATAATCACTTTAAAAAAATATTTTGACTTCAGAGAGGAAGATGAGAGAGAACCATTGATCTGGCACCGATTTGCAACCGGGGCATATGCCCTGATGGGGAACTGAACTGACCTCCTGATTCATAGGTTGATGCTCAACCACTAAGCCACATCGGCTGGGCACAAATAATCATTCTGTTTGAAGTTTTACCACATGTGGTTAACCAATTCTTGAAAAATAGAAATTGAACAAGTCTTTAAAGTTCCAGTTTTGAAATTGGAAGTTCTGACTATTCTTAAAATTTGCTGTTCTCTCCACAATGAATAAGCTCTTATAGTAATTTTACATTTAATACAATATTGTATGTATTATACCAAAATTTTTACTGTATTGTATAAACTGTCACCTTGATGTAATGATGTTAAGAGTCCTATTTTCTACTGATACAGCTATTGGTAGGTAGTATGACAAATATTTATCAGGGTCCCAACTGGAAAGAGATGACACAAGCCAATTAAGATAAATCAAAGATATTTATTTACAAAGAGGCTGTAGGAGAGGAAGCCACAAGAATTAATGCAGTAACCAGTTAGTAGAAGCGTTCCTAAGGCAGAAAGATAAGGGATGACGGCTGTTATCAGTCCTCCAAGTGAGAGAGGAAGCCATATTGAGTGGAACCTTTGGGTAAAGGACACAGCCCAACCTCACAGGGAGCGGGCCTGGGGGAGAAATACGTTGATCTCTTGTACAGATTCCTCTGTTTTTCTGCTAGGGCTCCTCGCTGGCTTAAGCAAACAGGAATCCAGAGAGCAAGGGGAACTTACAGACAAGTATAGGTCTGCCTTTCAGCAGAGTGTGGATATGGAGGGGCAAAATGATAAAAGGATGTGCTGCTTATTTTCATCAGTATTCCCTTCAGTATTGACAAGTTGTTAATGAGGACTCTGGTTGTGGTGAAAGAAACTCAACTTGATGCCATTTAAGCAACAAAAAAAGCGAAAACTGGAGGAACAGTAACAGGGGAGGAGCTGATTTTAAGGAAATAAATGCTATTTATTGGGGTACACACTCTTCCTCATCTCTGCATGTCATGTTGGTTTCTTTTGTAACAAAGTGGGGGCTTGGTCTCCAGCAGCACTGAGATGGAATCTTTAGAGTGGTATTATTACCATTGTAACTAGCTAGTTATTACTATTAGTAATAGAAGACAGCAAAGGCCAGGCATTATAAGCATGGTCATCTGGGCAGCTTCACCAGGAAGTTGTAGGCTTCATACTCTCCAGGGAACTACCAGTCCATTCCCTGCAAATCACTGGAGTAAGGGGTCCAAGGAGGAAGAGGGATGCATGCAGTGATGCTGGGATGATGTAGCAAAGGTGCCCATCAGTCTAATCCGGGAACAAGGATAACTGGCTAGGGGGTGAAGCCACCCACTACAAGCACACAAAATCTTGGAAGGGTAAAATCCCCAATGAAGTCCCTCCCTTGCTGCTCGTGCTCCTGCTTTTCACTTGCTGTGACCTGTGCTAGCTCACCATGTGGCCCTAGCAGTTGCCTGGCTCATGCCATGTGGACCTCACATGCAACAGACTGCAGCTGGTAACACGGCTAACCTAGTCAGATGCTGGACTGGATGGGACCTTAATATGGTGTAGAAACACTGGGCAATGGCTTTGATTCTAGCTCTGAAGATAAAAATGGGACATTTTCCATGGCAAGATGGAGGGAAATGGGACTTGAAGGGGAACTCCCTTAGTGTTACCTCAGCAACAAAGCTTTCTACAATACCTCATCCTCCACGGGGACCTTAGTATATTCTTATTCCTGCGGCATCCCAAGAGCTCCATTTCCACCAGCAACAGGTGGGGACAGATAGCACCTCACCAATAACAGTATCATCAGACAAGAGATGAGGCTCATTTTCCAACTCCATAGAGAAAAGTATTGGAGATCTTTATTAAGACATGTAAATGAAGATTTGCATAAATTAGATGGGGAGACTGATCTGAAAAATGTTCTTACCAAATTAATTTATAAGCATGATGCAATCCTAACCCAAATCTCACTTGAAATTTTTGGAAATATGAAAAAATCTAAACTTCATCAAGAATTTGTGGGACTACCAAGATTTTTAAAAGAAATTATCAAAGGCAACTTGCTTAATTAATAAAATGCATTATCAAGTGATTAAAATTACTATCAATATAATTAATATGTAGTTAAAAGTGTTATGTTGTTGGAAGAATGGCAAATTAATTGGACAAAATAGTTGTGTGGAGATAGAGGCAAAAGGAAAGAACCAAAAACTATGGATGGGAATGAATTAACCAATAAGTGGTGTTGGGAAAATTATATGGGGGAGGGAATCATACTAGATCCTTAAGTCACATTTTATAGCCAAATAACTTCCAAATGAATTAAAGAGAAATAGAAAGAAGAAAAGCATAAAATTTAATGAGATGAATATTTAATCTTGGAATGCAAAGGACTTTTTAACATAAAAAAGCCTTGACAACATACAAATGTACAACTAAAATGTCAAAAATATTACATGCAAAATTAAAAGACAACTAGCAAAATAGGAAAATATTGAGGCTCTATTACTATATTGTAAAAAATATTTAATATATGTTTACTAAATGATGTGTTTGACTAAACATTACTCATCTGAAATCACCAGGGAAAAACAAAACCAATAATTTTAGATATATATAGTAAAAGGTAATACTAATACCTTATTGAAAATAAATGGTTTTGATTGTCCATTCATAATTTAGTATAATTTTATTTTCATTATACTTAAAGAAGTTAAAATACACAGAAATAGGCTCATGTATTTTTTCATTTCTAGAAAATTAAATTCCTTATGATCAGAAGTGGTTATTCTATTTTATATTCTTCAGCACAGATTCTCTGTGAATAGCCAGTAGTTGCTGATATTACTTAAAAAAAAAAAAAAAAGCAACTTGTAAAAATAATGTCATTCACCTGACGTGGAAAATAAACCACCATAGAATAAACTTGATATCACTGAAGATGTTTTTTTCTAAATACTTTGCTTTAAATACCAATTTAAAAAATCTGGTGTGAAAGTATGAATAGTGGCGTGCATTCAATGAGAATTTTTATTTCAATTATCCACAAAACAATATAATACTTTATAAAAATATTAAGTTTTAGGCTACTATTATTTATTTTAAAAAGTGTTTGTGCTATAAGTTGTTTTTGCCAACTTTTTTTTTTTTTGGGGGGGGGGGGGGGAGGGAAGGGTTAAAAGTTCCACAATAAGATATTAAAGGTGAAAAGGTGTTGGGAGAAAATCCTCAAATATACAAAGCTGGGTATTTTTCTTGGCAAGTTAAAAATACATAACCATTTAAACTGAATACATAGTGAGTTAGTGTTATTTCCTTACTATACAACTGATATTAGAAGGAACAGCTCCATTTAGTCAAAACCAAAGGAATACCATCATCTTTTCCTGACTTATTTTTCTGAACAGAATTAGTACATAAACATATAATTTTATTACCCTTTTTTAAATGCTAGAAAAATTATACCATAGTTCACATGAGCCCTTTAAAAATCTGATGTCACAGGTTGCAGATATTAAGAGTAAAGGTGACTTGATGGCAGTCTTCACAGGAAGATCCTCTTAGAAGAGGGATTCAATGCTAAGCAGGTTACATAAACATAAGAAACCACCACAATTTTTAGTACCAGAACTGTTGCCAACTTGCATGAAGGTCATCTGTCACATTTTAAAATGGTTTGAATTTCCACATAGATACCATGGCACAGAATGTTACATTTAATGATCAGGTAAGTGATGGTAGTTAAAAACTGTATTCCTAAAATATGGGACCTGCTATATTGCTTTATTTAGAGTGTGACTATAAAAGAGTATTTTAGAACATAAATACCATATTTTTACTTTGTCAGATTCAGTTCCTTTGCTAGATCCTTAGGCCAATAATGCTGCTATTCAAATTCATATTTTGGAATTTCTAAGTTAGTTATAAAAATCAGTCTTATTTTGTATATTTTACTTCTGTACTTTGAATGAGCAAAAACTGTCCCCCCTTCTCACCACTATTATTCTAAATAAGTTTTCCACTTTAAATCAACTAAATTCTAAAAGGGGGAAAATTCATCACTATTAAGTATATTTAAAAAGTGAATATAGCCCTAGCTGGCTTGGCTCAGTGGATGGACTGAAGGGTCCTGTGGACTGAAGGGTCCCAGGTTCGATTCCGGCCGAGGGCACATGCCTGGGTTGCGGGCTCGTTCCCCAGTGGGGGGTGTGCAGGAGGCGGCCAATCAATGATTCTCTCTCATCATTGATGTTTCTATCTCTCTCTCCTTCTCCCTTCCTCTCTGAAATCAATAAAGAAATATATTAAAAAAAAAAAAAAGTGAATATAGATTCAAACACGAATTTGAAAACTGGAGTTTTAAAAATGTTTTGCATAAAAGCTGTATCATTGGAATTAGTGGGAAGCCTTAACTTATTTTGAGGCTATAACAGTTATTTAGTGTTTATGGTTAGATTAGTCTTACAGTCATTATCTTAAAACTCTTTTAATATCTCAAAAAATAGATGAGAAGCTTTGAGTGCCAGCAAAGCCATTTTGTCATTCCATAAATCAACATTAAACATAACATTCCATCCCTCTATCTGTAAAACTTTCACATTTTTCTTTTCTCATATTTCTTTTAAATACAATTCTTCTCTGTTAGTCTATATGCAATAAGGGCAAAAGTGCATTCAAATCCCTGATCTAGTGATATTTTTACATTTCTGGCACCCATCATACCATAAGTACATATTTAGTAATATCTCATAATACCTATTTAAATTCTGGGATTTATTTTTTCATGCTATTCTAATGATTGGATATCTTGGATTGGATAGTACAATTTCAATTAAATATTGTCATTAAAAAAATTAATGCAAACTTATAAAAGATTAACTTACTTTGTAGTTCCCTTCATGATTCCAAACTGAGCTTTTCAGAAAATGATTTAAAGTGAAAAAGTTCTACTTTCCACAAGTTTGAATTTTAACAGGTGCACTGTACTTTCAAATCCCACTACTGTCGTCTAACACTTAACCAAGTTAGATGTTGCTTATATTCCTTTTTGCTTCTAAAAAACCTTGCTCATTTCCATGCAAGGAAGGCATACATTAAAACTGCATATTAACTTCAACTTATAGAAAAAACGTTTGAGAATAATGAATGTGGGCAAATTTAAAAAATGGAATGGAATCATTTGGTCCCATGAAGTTCCTTGATTTTTAGAACTTATGGCATAACTGTTCATATCTCCCAAGTTTTATCTATAATGATAAATAATTTTCTCTTAAAAATTCTGAATTTGGGGAATAAGAAAGGAAGTGACTTATGAACAGTAGCCTTGTTGCTTTTCATTGCCGTGCTATCACTCACACTGTCATCAATATCTTAGCTATACTTTCTTTGGACCCTGAATTAAGTTGAAAAATTCATCACTGGTACTTTAGAGTTTAACATTTGGAACACAAAGAAGTGGTTTTGCGTAACCATAGCTGGAATTCCAGTTTACCATTAAAAACATGCGGAGTGAAGAAGATTTTCTTCTTTTGATTCCTGTATATGAGGAAGTCTACGTAAATTTTTTACATTCTGGCAGGTTTGTGCATATAAAATAGGCTACTTGGATTATAAATTTTCTCCTGGCTGGTACTGTGGCTCGGTAGCAGTGAAGTAGTCCTCCAAGAAGGATTGGATATATTCAAATGTTGGCCTTTCATCAGGGTCCTTCTTCCAACAAAGATTCATTAAATCATGTAGAGATTCTGGACAGCCCTGAGGGCAAGGCATCCTATATCCTCGTTCCACCTGTTCCAGCACTTCACGGTTTACCATACCTAACACACAAGATTCAAACATTAAAAACCAATGATGCCTTATAAGCATGAACAGACTGTTGAACCTAAGAGGGAAGGCAGGGGAGGGTGAGTGGGAAGAGATCAACCACTGAACATTTATGCATATATGCATAACCTGTGGATACAGACAATGGGATGGTGAGGGCCTGGGGGGATGGGAGGAGGACAGAAGCAGGCTGGAAGAGGTTAATGGGGGGGAAAGGACAACCTATGTAATACTTTCAACGATAAAGATTTTTTTAAAAAAAGAAAAAAGACACAGACAATAGTGTGGTAAACATGAGGCTAGAAAGGGTTTATAAGGGAAAGAAAGGGACATCTCTAATACTTTCAACAATAAAGATAAATTAGAAAAAAAAAAACACCTCTGGCCAGTTTGCTCAGTGGATAGAGCGTCGAGCTGCAGACTGAAGGGTCCTGGGTTCCATTCCAGTCAAGAACACATGCCCAGGTTTTAGGCTTGATCCCCAGTAGGGGGTGTGCAGGAGGCAGCCAATCGATGATTCTCTCTCATCATTAATGTTTCTATCTCTCCATTCCTCTCTGAAATCAATAAAAATATATTGGGGAAAAAAACAACAGAAAAAACAAACAAACCAATGATGCCAACCACCACTAAGATATAATGAACCTATTGTGGTAATCATTTCATAATATATATGTAGATCAAACCATTATGCTGTATGTCTTAAATTTATATGGTGATGTATGTCAGTCATTTCTCAATAAAACTGGGGGGGAGGGGGAGAAAATAAAATAAATCCCCTAGCCACAAAATAATTCAAAGTATAGTAAGTTTACTTAGTGAAATTATTATTTTATTATTTTTTTAATATATTTTTATTGATTTCAGAGAGGAAGAGAGAGAGTGAGCGAGCGAGAAACATCAACAATGAGAATCATTGATCAGCTGCCTCCTGCACGCCGCCCACTGGGGGGTCGAGCCCACAACACGGGCATGTGCCCTTAACTGGAATTGAACCCATGACCACTCAGTCTGCAGGCCGACGCTCCATCCACTGACCCAAACCAGCTAGGGCTGAAATTATTTTAACAAAGAAATAAATTTTCAATGTCAAAGTATATCAAAAAGACCTTAGAAAATGCGAGACTGTTTCAGAAGATCTAGTTTTTTTCATTCCACAGTAAACCTTACTTTCAACACTAAAGCCTTCAAAAGCCAATCCCAATTGATTAATGAAAATTTAGGGTGGTACTTTGAGGTTCTGATATTAACAGTTATTAATTACCAGACGTGGGCTAATAGGGAACAGTGAGCAGTAAGATAGTGTCTAAAAGAACTTTCAGATAGAAATTCAGAAGAAGCGTTTTAGTCCTGGTTTTGCCAAGTACACTTACTATGTAACTTTATATCAAGTCACTTTCCTGTAACAGTTTCTTTATCTAACATCACCTGTTTAACCTTCTTCAAGTTATTACACAGTTCCTTTCTTGTATTCCTTTGTACAAGGAATCCACAGCTCACCCTGTGTTACCTATCACAACTTGTAAGAGAGGGGCTTGGAGAGGGAGGTTGGGGAGGGCAAGATGAGCCAGGATATTTAAGATATGTTTATTATCTGAGAGAACAGTAGAGATAAATAGCCCTTTTGGAAAATGCCCTAAGAGAGAAAGCTGAAGTCAAAGGGGGCAAACCTCATGTGCTTGCCCTATATCAAGGATTGTGACTCTCACAGGTTGCTGTCCATCCAATGCCAAAATAAAGAGAGAGAGGGAGAGAGAGAGAGAAAGAGACAATGAAAGAAGAAGAAAAAGGCCTTCACCCTTACATTCTGCTCCTAATAATCTCCAATTAAAGTCACTAATGGGATAAACAAGAGCTAGTAAATGCAAGCTTACCTGGATATGGCACTCTGCCCTTTGTTACCAGTTCTGTCTGTAGAATTCCAAATGACCACACATCAGACTTTATTGTAAATCGACCATATAGTGCAGCCTCAGGAGCTGTCCATTTGATTGGAAATTTTGCACCTAAAACAATATGACATCTTGCTTAAGTAAATTGTTTTAAAAATCTGTTTGTGTAAATAATGGCATAAGGAGGGCTAACTTTCTTTCTGTCACTATCTTTATTGTATATGTCATCAGATTTACATTCTTCAAAAGTGCAAGATACACGGGAAACATTTTTTTAAATATTTAAAATGTGGAATCTAATGAACAAAAATAAACTGATGAACAAAATAGATCCAGAGACATTGAAGCATACAAAAGACTGATGAATTTCGGGGGTGGGGCTGGGGGAAAGATAAACCAAAGAACTTATATGCAATAACCTGTGGACAGACAATAGTGTGGGGAAGGCCTGGGGAGGGTTTAGGGTGAGGTGGAAAGGGTCAATAGAGGAAAAAATACTTTCAACAATGAAGACAAATTAAAAAAAACAACAACAATAAAACGTGTATTATAGCCCTGGTCATTGTGGCTCAGTTGGTTGGAGCATCATCCCATACACTGAAAGGTCATGTGTTTGATTCGCAGTCAAGGCACATATCCAGGTTTCTGGTTCAATCCCCTGTCAGGGTGCATATGGGAGGCAGCCGACTGATGTTTCTTTCTCTTTCTCTCTCTCTCTCTCTCTGGAATCAATGGAAACATATCCTTGGGTGAAGATGAAAAACAAAAAATTAAAAAAAACTGTGTATTATAGGACCAGTAACTTTTAAGTAGTCTATCACCTAACAGCCATAGCTCATCATTGGTTGAAGAAGGCATATTCTGTTGGGTTCTAATGTCTACTGGTTTTTGACCATAATCTCTTTTTCATTTTATGAAATCTCTCCGGAAAATTTTATTGTACTATAATTTTTAAAGTCTGTATTAATTAATTCAAATATGTATTGTATGCTTTTTATGCACAAGACATTATGGTAATTATTATGGGAGAGAAAAGCATAGCCTTCATGTAGCTTATATACATGTAATTCGTGCATGGGTGGAGTCCCTAGCCTGGCTGGCAATCAGGGCTGATCAAGGCCTGTAGGCTGGGGGAAAGAACGTGGAGGGGGGAACATGGGAGGTTGGCCACCAGCCACTGGGGCCTGACGGCTGGGGGAGGGACAACAGGAGGTTGGCTGTGGGAGTGCATTGACCACCATGCGGCAGCTCCTGCATTGAGTGTCTGTCCCCTGGTGGTCAGTGCACGTCATAGCGACCGGTCGTTCCAGTCACTTAGGCTTTTATATAGATAGACAGGGCGACAATAGGTGTTTTACATACTTCAGGTTATTTCTATATATATGTATATAGTGTTATAAAATAGTTCTTTAGGTGTTCAAACAGAAGATCAATTTTCACTAGCACAATCACAAAAGGTTTCATTAGAAAGGGGGCAACTGCCCTGGCAAGTAGCTAAATGGTTAGAGCCGTGGTTGGCAAACTACGGCTCTGGAGCCACATGTGGCTCTTTGGCCCCTTGAGTGTGACTCTTCCACAAAATACCACGTGCAAGCACACACGTACAGTGCAATTGAAACTTTGTGGCCCATGTGCAGAAGTTGGTATTTTGTGGAAGAGCCACACTCAAGGGGCCAAAGAGCCGCATGTGGCTGGCGAGCCGCGGTTTGCCGACCACTGGGTTAGAGCATCAGCCCACACACTGAAGGGTCTCAGGCTCAATTCCTGTCAAAGGCACATACCTGCATTGCAGGTTCAATTCCCAATTCCTGGTCGGGTATCATGTGGGAGGCAACCAATTAATGTGTCTTTCTCATATCAACGTTTCTCTCTCTCTCTCTCTCTCTCTCTCTCTCTCTCTCTCTCTCTCTCTCTCTCTCTTTCTCCCGTCACTCCCCCCATCCACTCTCTCTAAAATACATCAATGAAAAAAAAATCCTCAGGTGAGGATTAACAAACAAAATAATAATTTTACCTTGTCTTGCTGTATATTCATTGTCTTCGATTAACCTTGCTAAACCAAAATCTGCTATTTTGCACACAAGATTTTCTCCTACAAGAATATTAGCAGCCCGAAGATCTCGGTGAATATAGTTCATTCTTTCAATATATGCCATACCATCAGCAATCTTGGAAAGAGAAAAATAAAAAGACACATGATACAAAGGAAAGGAGGGATAAAACAATTTTGGTTAGTATTAAGTTAGATCACTGAAAAATCATATATCTAGAAAGGAGATAACAGGGCATAATTTTGCAGATAATAAGAAAAATAGAAAACACTATAATTGAGAAGAAGGATGACAGGGAAGGAGAATGGGAGGCTGGGGAGGAAAGGAGGGAAAGGGAAGGAGGACAGGAGAGGAGGAGGAAGGGAAGGAGAAACAACAGGGATGTATGTGGCCCACAAAGCCTAAAACATTGATCTGGCTCTTTTCAAAAACAGTTTGCCAACCTCTACTGTAGAAAGTCCAAGAGCCTTGAACTCAGGGGTGTGAACTAGGTGTGGCATACGCTAATGTTTCACAAGACAGTTTCTTAGTATAAAGTTTCCCTAAACTTCATCAGATATTTGAGATTTCCAAAAGTACTATTTCCTTAGGAATAGCTATCATTCACTGTCTAAAAATTTATCTGTTAAAATATAAATACATATAGCCCTGGCCAAGTGGTTCATTTGGTTGAAGCATCATCCCTTACACCAAAAGGTTGTGTGTTCGACTCCTTGTCAGGGCACATACCCAGGTTGTGTGTTCAATCCCTGGTTGGGGCGTGTATGGGAGGCAACCGATAGATGTTTCTCTCTCACAACGATATTTCCTTCTCCCCATTTCTCTAAAATCATTAAAAAAACAAACAAAAAACCCCACAAAAACACATCGTTGGGTGAGGATTAAAATAATATATATAGATTTTATATTTGTGGATGCAGTACGTTTCTGAAAGGCCATATGATTCAGGACAGAAGTGTTATGGTAGGTACATACCTCGTTCTAATACTAATACTACCTGAATTTTAAATAGTTCTTTCTGGTCTTCAGATACAACATTATCTATAATTAAATTATCTATAGCTAGGAGATCAGACTGGATTATCTCTAACTAGAGGCCTGGTGCACGAATTCATGCACGAGTGGGGTCCAGCCAACCTGCCCCGATCGGGCCAATCGGGCTGGGTCAGCTGTGGGGAGGGGCCACAGGCAGTTGGCCAGCCAGCCCTGCCCCCTGGTTGAACTCCTAGTGGAGGGAACAATTTGCATATTAGCCTTTTATTATATAGGATATCTCTTCCAGCTCTTAAATTTCATGATTTCATTATACAAACAATAGCATTCCATTAAAATTATTTTACATGTTTAGTGCACACTTTCGATTCAAATGGATGATACAGGTATAATATACAAGTACCTGAGCAGCCATATCAACCAATTGTGGGAGCTTCAAATATTTTCCATCTCCTTCCTTCAGAAAATCTAATAAGCTCCCTATAAGAGACAGCAAGATGTTCATGGAAAATAAGCAAATAAATCACATCACAATACAAAAACTTCAGCTTTTCATTCTTTAACATTTTTTTGTAGCTTGAAATTACTGAATAACTATCTTTAAGACTCTAGAGGCCCTAAACTGAAATTTTATAAAATTTTCTTGTTAGCGTAAGAAAAAAGGAAAATGAGATAATCTCACCAGATTATAGGCATTCCTTCCTTGCTTTGATCAAGAGCAACAGTTCCAATTTTGATTTAAAAAGCAGTATCCTTACATATTTTTAAGTCAGTCAGAATTAAGAACTAAAGACAACTGGGAATATCTTGGGGTACTTAAAAGTAAATCTAGGTGGCTCAGTTGATGTGGAAGTGTTAGTCCAACTGACTTCTCTCAATTTCAGCAGAAGATATGGAACAGCAAAGTATTACGAATAACAGCAGAGAGAAAGGCTAGAAATGAAAAGTCTAGCTGCTATTCCTCTATTACTGGTTTCAAATATACCATTAGCTCAATTTAATCAGGAGAAAATATCAGATAAACCTAAATCAAGACACATTTTATAAAACAATGGTACCATTCTCTTAAAAAAAAAATGTTATGAAAGACAGGATGAGGTATTCTCCAGATTAAAGATCAAAGAAAAATTACAACTAAAAGAAATTGGTGACGCCCTAACCGGTTTGGCTCTAACCGGTGGATAGAGCATCGGCTTGCAGACTGAAAGGTCCCAGGTTCGATTCTGGTCAAGGGCATGTACCTTGGTTGCGGGCACATCCCCAGTGGGGAGTGTGCAAAAGGCAGCTGGTCGATGTTTCTCTCTCATCAATGTTTCTAACTCTCTATCCCTGTCCCTTACTGTCTGTAAAAAATCAGTAAAATATATTTTAAAAAAAGAAAAAAAAGAAAAGAAATTGGTGACTATGGATTAGACCAATGGTCGGCAAACTGCGGCTTGCGAGCCACATGCGGCTCTTTGGCCCCTTGAGTGTGGCTCTTCCTAAGCCTTAGGAGTACCCTAATTAAGTTAATAACAACGTACCTAACTATATAGTTTAAGTTTAAAAAAGTTGGCTCTCAAAAGAAATTTCAATCGTTGTCCTGTTGATGTTTGGCTCTGTTGACTAATGAGTTTGCCGACCAGTGGATTAGACAATGGATCAGGGAAAAATTGCTGTAATTAAGGATATCACTAGGATGACTGGTGAAATCTTAATATAGACTAGTATTAAATAATAGAATTGTATCCATGTTATAGTTCCTGAACTTTATCATTATACTGTTGTTTATAAGACAATGTTCTTGTCTGTAGGAGAAAAACACTGACATACTTAGAAGGAAACATAATATCTGCAATGTACTCTTAAATAGTTCAGAGGAAAACCCTTTATTTTATATATTAGTGATATATCTAGTTAACAATTGACAAATCTGGCCGAAATATATACAGGAATTCTTTGTATTATTTTTGCAACTTTTCTGTAAGTTTAAAAGTATTTCAAAAGGAAAGTAAAATAAAACAAGACAAAGAATGCCCCTTCTATGTGACATGATTATAAAAGAAGGAAAATCATGACTTAGTCTCATGTATAAAGTATCAAAGTCAAAGAATATCTACATTTCTTCTGGTCTGTCTACTTACTAAGGGGAACATGTTACTGTGTTTGTCCATTTATCTGCCCATTCAAATTATTTACCAAGGGCCTACTACATATGAGGCACTGCAAAAAAGTATAGAGGATATAAAGATAAGTAAGTCATGGTCTCTGCCCTTGAAAAGATACTGATCTAATATGAAAGTCCTAGAGGCCCGGTGCACGAAATTCGTGCGGGGGGGGGGGGGGGCTGTCCCTCAGCCCAGCCTGCACCCTCTCCAATCTGGGACCCCTTGGGGGATGTCCTACTGCCAGTTCAGGCCCAATCCCGGCAGTCGGACATCCCTCTCACAATCCGGGACTGCTGGCTCCCAACTGCTCGCCTGCCTGCCTGATTGCCCCTAACCACTTCTGCCTGCCAGCCTGATCACCCCCTAACCACTCCCCTGCCAGCCTGATTGACACCTAACTGCTCCCCTGCCGGCCTGATCACTCCCAACTGCCCTCCCCTGCTGGCCTGATCGCCCACCACTGCCCTCCCATGCTGGCCATCTTGTGCCCACATGTGGGTGGCCATTTGTGCGAGGGTGTGATGGGTCAATTTGCATATTACCTCTTTATTATATAGGAGGATAGTATATATATCTATAAAATATATGCAAACAAATATTTTATGGTAGGAGTTATTAAAGTTATTGTAACTACTACAGTAGAGGCACAGCGGCTATAGTTACTTCTACAGACAAGTTAGAAAAGGCTTCACAGAGAAGATGCATCTTAAAGGAAGAATGGGGGCAAACAGGGAATTCCAAGAGGGACTAACAAGTACAAAGTCTGTAATGCATAAAACAGCACAGCAAGTTCAGGGAACTGGAAACAGTCTTTCCGACACAAGAACACAGAGCCCAAAGGTGAGAATGAGGCTGCAAAAGGAGAGTCAGAACCAAGTGTATAGAAAGAAGATAGTTCTTTGATCAATACTCTAAGTAGAACATCATTCAGTGTAACAAAAGTGCTAAAATATTTTGTGCAAAACTGCAGAGTATAGAAATCTGGGATTGGAATTTGTATCATTGTGACAATTCTTGTTCTCTGATCTTTAACTAATCATAAAAATACCCAATCCCCTTAAAATGTTTCTTATATTCATTTATCATAGAATGTGTTGGATCTTACTAGTGGTCCATAACTTTTTCTGCCCCATAAGTTATTTTGAGAATCTGATGAAAACTATGAACTCTTTCCAGAAAACATACATAAGTTATGCAAAAACTGACACATAATAACTTCAGAAAAAGTTCATAGACCCGAAAACTCATTCACAACTCTGACAGTAAGTACTGAATAAATAATAGTGAAATCAATTGAAAGCAATTCTTAAGCTTGTCTCATATACCCCTCTCTAGGCTTATTTCCAACTAGTTTCTTCTACTACTTCTGTACTTTTCACTAGCTATGGTTCTGTTTCTCATTTCCTCAATCCTCTTAGCTCTGCCCTTTACACATCCATATCCTTCATAACCATAAAGGGCAAGTCGGGACTTTTCTTTTCTACTAATTTTTCTCAATTTATTCCAGCCTATGTAATCTCTTCCTCAATTTCTATTATACTTACTGAAATTTATTATGTGTTGGCCTGTAGCTTCACCTGTTTATAGTAAACTGTTATTTACTTTTATGCTAAAAATTAACTCTTCAGAAGTCTAGGTCTTTTCTCTCCAAATTTAATCTACCGTATAATAAATAGCAGAGTACCTTATATACTAGAAGCATTCAATACATTCTGGTTGTTAATAACTTCTAGAGTAGTTTGATTGAAATGATTGCAGAGGATATAATGATCATGACACATTGAACTATCAGTGGAAGGCTCCTAAACCCGACTTAAGTACGGTCTGAATAAAGTACAGTTGATGGACTGGTCAAGAGATAAGGAGCCGAAACCGGTTTGGCTCAGTGGATAGAGTGTCGGCCTGTGGATTGAAAGGTCCCAAGTTCGATTCCAGTCAAGGGCATGTACCTGGGCAGCTGATCAATGTTTCTCTCTCACTGATGTTTCTAACTCTCTATCTCTCTCCCTTCCTCTCTGTAAAAAATCAATAAAATATATTAAAAAAAAAAAAAAAAGAGATAAGGAAACCAAATTCCAGGTGAATGAAATAACATGAACAAACTCATGGAAACAAGAAGCAACAAGAAGACCCTTCTGGCCAGAAAAGTGGATTTATGTGAAAGCACTTGAGGCAATGAGTTTGGATGGATTATAGATGGCCAACTGCAAGATGGGGAATTACAGAATTTTTAAAAATAGAAAGGATATTTGTGACCTTACATTCTAAATCTCCCATCTAGAAATAATCCTAACCCAGCAACCTGACAACAAGACTTTTACCATGCTTCCCCCAATAAAATAATTCTTGAAATCAATATACAAAGCTAATGGGCCATTAGCTTTACCAATATTCTTATACTATCAATATCTTGATTTAAACCTCCTCTTTGCTGTCTCTTTTCTTCCCTTTCTAGTTCATCTAATGCACTCTGAAATGGAATATTTGGCAGTGGTTTGCAGGAGAGCTTCCTTCCAAAAAGTACCATGTGCTTTGAGGCTTTAGGCATGTCTTGGCTATCAATTAGAAGGCTATGGAGTTATTTTAACCTTTTGGTTCTTCTATCCCTTTTATGGGGGGAAACATTTCCTATAGCAAATGTATAGCTTGTAGTTGACCCTGTCACCACTAGATGGAACTACATTGTGATGGACTACTGGAGAGGGATGTCATAATAATCAGTGTTAATATGGATGAGTGACTCATTAAAGAGTTTAAAAATGTAGATAAAATTCAAGAAGGTAACTGGTTTTTCTTCTAAAGCACATTAGGCAAAGGGAAAAAGAGGGAAGAGCAACAACTTCCCCTTGTTTTTAATCCTGGCCCTAACCAACCCTGGAACTAAAGATCCCAACTTGGGGTTTGGGAAAATGGAGACACTTCAGCTGACAGTACTGAAAAAAGAATGTTTCTAGATGCCTGAGTATGAAGGTTATGCTTATATTAAAATGAAATAAAATTAATTTCTTTGATTTAGTATCAAAGATATAAATATCTTTCTGATTGAATTATTTTAATTCAATTTTTACGAATACTTTCTTTTTCACTTTCCTAGCTATTCCATTTCCTTTGGTCACATGAAATTAAGGACTATTTACTTGCAAAATAAATTCAGCCTGCTTATTTTCCTTTTAAACTTTGTACTATCCTTTGGAATAACACAATGTCAGATTTTTTTCTTTTAAATGTTTACATAAAAATCTCAAAGTAGAAAACACTACACAATAAAAATTTGTACGCATAAAAAACTGAAGACTTGTTTTTAAAAAATGTATTAACATGGATAATAAGAGACTTATATACACATACCTTTTGACATAAATTCAGTGACAATATAAATTGGCTCTTCAGAAACAACAGCATATAGTGGAACAAGTTTATCATGTCTTAATTTTTTCATTATCTGAGCCTCTTGAAGAAAAGCTTCTGGCATCATTGTACCTGGTTTTAGTGTTTTGATTGCTACTTTTGTGGTTCCATTCCATGTTCCTAGAGAAACAACACTTACTATTTTGATCTACACTTGAAAGAAATTCTTAGCAAACTTCAATGAGCAACAGTGACTTAAAATATTTCAACATATCTTACCATAAATTGTGTATTTTTATCTATGGCAAAACAATTACAAAAACACACACAAAAGTTCAGGCTTCTTACCCATCCATACTTCACCAAAACATCCTTGTCCTAGTTTAACTTCTAGTCGCAAAGATTCTCGAGGGATTTCCCAAGCATCTTTTGCTAGACCTTGAGTCTGGGGTTTCACAGTTGGACATACAGTTGTTAACTTATGGCATAAGCCATCAGCATGTTCTAGGTAAATGAATAAACTATACTGTAAAATTAATTACTTACAAAAAATAAGTTACATGTAGTGTATCAATGTTTTAAAAAGTTGAAACTATAGAAAACAAAAAATATGTTCTATTAGTTTTTTTAAATAAAAACAGAAAAAAATTGTATGTAAACAGCAAAACACACAAGAAATGAAACATTTTATTAATTACATTTAAAAAGTTATGCATTGAATACTTATGTCCCAGCTATTGTGCTAATTCAGCAACTTACAGATATCTCATATAAATGAGTCTTGGAAAATTCATCGACACTCTCAAGGTCACCCAATTAGTAAATGATGGAGATAGGATTCAAACCCAGGGTCTGGCTGCCTCCAAAGTTCTACTTTTGACTACTCTGCTTTATTTCTTTCTAAAAAGAACACTACCATTAACTGTTATTTCTAAAAATCACTAATATAAAAAGCACACCAAAAATTAAGGGAAAACTTCTTTTAAAAAACTAATTTTTAAATAAGGGAGACACAAAAACAGGGAGTCCCAAATTCATAATGGCTTGACTTGTGAATTCTGCTTATACAATCTTTCTTATTGTAAATAAGACATGCTCCCTCCCATTCTCAACAAGTAACCATGCAAACTGGCATTCTAACAATTGCAATTACAACTGATGCCACTGTTTGGCAATATGTTTGACCAATGTCAACATTGGAGGATCACTTGATAAACTCAGTTTCCAGCTAACTGTTACTGAAGAAGAAATTGCCATAGGAACTTCCCCTCCCCTAGCATTAATCATTTAAAGACTTTCAGATGCATTCAAGTATCAAAATGATAATGAAAATTTTTTGAGATAGACTAATATTAAATACCTTTCAAAGATCCTTGAAAAACTGAAGAATGATATAGCTTAATTTTTTAGGAAAAGAAAAATGCATCTTCACTAGATTTATTTTATTTAATAAATAAATCTCACTATGTTTATACTTTCAGGAAGTCTTATGTAGTCCATCTCATGCAGAAGAAGGTAAACCAAAAGGACAGCTGATACAACTTTTTATTTTAAATTTTTAGCTTACCTTCTTTTTTTAAAAAAATATGATCTTATTGGTTTTAGAGAAAGGAAGGGAGAGGGAGAAAAATAGAGAAGATGGATCCATCAACTGCCTCCTGCATGCCCCCTACTGGGGACCAAGCCCACAACCCAGGCATGTGCTCTGACCAGGAATCGAACCAGCGACCTCTCTGTGCATGAGACAACACTCAACCAACTGAGCCACAGTGGCCAGGGCTGCTTCACCTCCTTAATAAGTGTCCCTAAATAAAATATTTGTTTTGCCTTTTTATTTATTGTCACAATCTATCTTCGTATTTAGCTGTCATGAAATGGAACTCCAATGTAAACACTATACCAGTAAAATATAAAGACTCAAATGATGATAATCTGATTTTAGCACATCATCCAAGAATCCAATTCAGGTAATAAGTATTACCTGTTACTCATTTTAAAATTAGAAAACAAAAGACATCCAGTGAACACATATTATGTGTAAAGAAACATGCTAAACCTAAAGGACATGAAGATATGGATTCTGTCCTCATAAAATACAACTGAAGAAATAATTTTCACCTTTGAAATATTACATACCTGTGTAGTGTTTAACCAACTTCTGCAGAGTTTCAAATTGTGCTCTAGTTGTGATATAGTATCCACCATTGTCAAGTTTCCTAATTTTGTAGTGTTTCACATTGTCACCCCTTACTTCATCCCAATCACGAATAGAAAGGGAATAAGCACCTGGTGGAGCAGGAAGAAATGAAACCTTTTGTTATATCTTTCTCAAAATACAGCCTAAGAAGATCTTTATACTTATATCAACATAACAATATTCATACCTTTAGTAGTTTCACTTTCTCTTACTAAGAAAATACCTCGTTGATTCCCAGGATTCAGAAGTAATCTTTCAGCATCTTTTCTCCCCATTTTGCCAAAATACCATCTGGAAAAAAATAGTGTTCTGAGTTAGAAAGGTGTAAGGGTAAGAAAAATTATACGTAAGTATTAGTAGTATTAATAAGAATGGAGTAAGATAGGGTGGATGACAAAAACAGCTACAGAACACAGCTTGAAAATATAGTAAAATACAATAAAAACATTTATTAGGTAGGACTACTACAAATATTACTGTTAGAATATAATCTGTCACAGTATTTCCATGTATTGACTATTTAATATGTCTTAAACTCTACATGAGTCACAGAAACAGTAAATGAAGAAGGAAAGACCATAATGGCAGACAGAGCCTTTCAATCAGTGGCAGATGGAAATACTAAGACCATAGTAGGAAGAATTAAAAGTAGTTCTCTGGCAATAATGTGATCATCTATATTCAGTAACGTGCAAGTAAACCATATTGAAATTAGAAACTCTAAATTAGTGTAGACATTACAGTCTCTGCCATGAATGATTTCAGAATAGTGGAGAAAAAGACAAAAGAACAAAACAATGTAACAACTGCCAAAGCAGGACAGTTATAGAGACAAATTACATATCATCAATAAAAGCAAACAAACACTGGCAGAATACCTACTATGTGCAATATCTACTGTGTTAAGTGTTGTGATATAAAAATGAAGTAGCATTTATGGATGCAAGATAAACTTGGTTTGACCTGAAAGTGATGTCATTGAAGGTGAACTTTTTAAAAGTAGTAGATAGAACTCCCAGATATCCTCTACCAGGCTTCCCAAATTTAACATTTTGCCTTGTACATTCTCTTTCCCTGTGTGTGCATTTTTTCCCCCTGAACTTATTGAGAGTAAGTGGCAAACATGCTGAATCATTACCCTAAATCCTTCAGGGCATACTTTCTAAAAGACAAGGATTCTCTCCTACATAGGAGCAAGCACCTAAGTCAATAAATTAACACTGATATAATACTACAAACTGAGGTAAATTTTTGAAGTGAGAGAACGCTCAAAATACAAAAAAGGTTAATATAATTTTCACGTGAAAAGATAAAGGCATAACAATACAGTATTAATGCAGATTCATTTATAATCCTACTCTAAGCAAGTACTATGCATTAATTATTAATTTTTAAGTAACATTTCCTATTAATATGTTACATTAGCTGTATTAAGACTGATATGTAATTGTGTGTGTGTAAAGTTGTGGCTAAGTAGAATGTGCATTAAAACATTTTTAAAATCAAAACAATTAATAAAATATGAAGTAGTGCCATACTCTTCTGCCTGAATGGAATCTGCAGGGGCTACATAATTGCTAGGAATATAGCCATTCTTTCCTGTAGCAATTGATCTTGCTTCCCACCAGTCTCCTTCCCTGCAACACAGAAAACAACAGTTACCACAAGGTAGACTACCGCTTAAGATAGATGTACTGCAGTGTTGTCTTGTAGCTGAAGGATACATTTTTAAATTATGCATTCATGTGATCAAGAATCAACTCAAAGGATAATATTTAAAAATAGGTTATATGAATTAAAGGAATAAAGCTAAGCAAAAGCACAATTACATTTCTGCTTCAAAGCAAAACAAAAAAAAATTACACTTTTAGGTACATTACTCTTTCAACCTGAGGACAGACAATAAACTATACTGAATAAGACAATTTGGAAGGTAAATCTTTCAAATTATTCATTTTTGATTAAATGTTCTATAAAATTCCCCCATTTGAGATGTACAATTTAGTGGGTTTTAATATATTCACAGAGTTGCACAACCATCCCACAATCAATCTTAGAATGTTTTCATTACCCCAAAAAGAAACCTCATATCCATTAAGAGTCATCCTCCCATCCCTCTTCTGTCCCACCCCCACCAATGCCAACCACTAATCCACTTTCTGTTTTTATGGATATACCTATTGTGGGCATTTCATATATATGCAATCATATAATATATGATCTTTTTGATTGGCTTCTTTTACATAGCATAATCTTTACAAGGTTCACCTATGTTATGGCATGTATCAGCAGCTCATTCTTTTTTATTTTTAACAATGTATAAAATTATGATCTTCCTTTTTAGTCATTTTAGGGGGAAAAATCAGAACACTCTAGAACTCCTGTAGCCAAAATCTTAATGGGCAATAACAACAAAAAATTTAATTCTTAGAATATATACAAAAATACTATCCGTAAATATGCAAGTAAGACTATAAGCAATTCACAACACAAGAACTATATGTAATTTGGAAAACATAAGCCTTGACTTTCCCAAAATTAATGTGGAAGAAGCAAATATCAGTCTCTAATGAACAAGATACAAAAATGGGTTCCACTACTAAAAATTAAATGCATGTTTTGCTTTAACAGTGAGAAATGCTGAAAATATTTTATTGAAATTGAAATTTTATAAATACTTGAGGTACATTTACTTTCTAGAAAACGAAGTGGAAAATCCTTTGGTAATTCAAATACTTATAAATTCATAATACCTGGTTTGTAGTTTCCTGCTAACCATTCACTGATTCATTCAAACATTTATTGAATACCTTCTTAAGTGACAGACTTTATGAAAGGGTATGCTGAAAACAGGAGTAAAAAGATAGTCCTTACCCTTAAGAAACACAGTCTAGAGTAGGATTTCTCAACCTCAGCACTACTGACTTCTTAGACTAGATCACTCTTTGTTGTGGGGGCATGTCCTATGCATTGTAGGATCCTAGGATGCTGAGCAATATCCCTGGCCTCTACTCACTAGATGACAGTAGTAACAAACTGACTGTAACAACCAAAAATGTCTCCAGACATTGCCACATGTGCCCTGGATGATTGTGCCACATGTTGACAACCACTGGTCTAAAAGAATAATAAGTAAGTGATAAGTTATAATTTGAAACTGCAATGGCAGCTATGATTTAGGTTTGCATAGGATGCTATGTAAACATTTAAAAAAAAACACTTGATCCAGCAAGAGGTGGGTACTGGGCCAGGCAGAAGAGGAAGAATGTCAGGAAAGGCTTCCTTGAGAAAGGATATAGGAATAAACATTTTGAAGGATGAGTTGGGTTGGCCATATAAAGAAGCGGGGGAGGGAAAGGAGAAATCACATTCCAGGAAAAAAAATATATGTGAAGGCCTGGAGAAGGTGAAAAACCACAGAATATTCAGATAATTGCAAGTAATTCAACATGGCTAGGCAGTGGAGTGAGAAAGGGGAAGAAGCTCAATGAATAATGCCTAATAGTCTTGTTATTTTTCTTTATCCTGATGGCAACTGGTATCTATTAAAAGATTTTAAAGCAGAGAGACATGAACATATTTTATGTTCTGGAATAATAACTGGTAGCAAATGAGAATAGGATGGAAGAAAACATGACTGAAAGCAAAAAGACCATAAATAAATATTTTAAGAAGTTACAAAGTAGCTGCTATCTTGCTAATGAAATTATGGAATCTATTTTCCATAAATAACAATGGGTTTTCTATGGTGGGCCACTAAATGACAAAAAGTCTAAGAGTCACATACAGAAAAAGCCACTTAATTTGGTCAGTTTGGGATTGCAGGGGTTCCTTACCTGGCCTTTTTCCTTTTTTTTTTTTTTGTAAGGAGAAACAGATAAGATATTTAAATCATCTAGTACTTAGATAAATAGGAATATAGAATTCTCTTTATAAAGATTTTTTTAAAAATATATATTTTATTGATTTTTCAGAGAGAGGAAGGGAGAGAGATAGAGTGAGAAACATCGATGAGAAACATCAATCAGCCGCCTCCTGCACATCTCCTACTGGGGATATGCCCACAACCAAGGTACATGCCCTTGACTGGAATCGAACCTGGGACCCTTCAGTCCGCAGGCTGACGCTCTATCCACTGGGCCAAATAGGTCACGGCTATAAAGATTTTTTAAAGTAATGTACTTACTTACATATACTTCCTCACTCTTCATTCTTAAATCTCTACTGTTTATGGCAGAACCACAGCAACACAATTTATAGAAGTAATAACTTCTGGCTACATCAGTAGTATTCTGCCATATGTCTAAAGAAAACAAATGCATTGTCCAACCGAATGGGCAGAGGTCCACACCCCACTATTCTCATCTCTGAATCATTAACTAGCTCGGTGGTTTCAATGCAAAGACCAGGTGACTGTCAGTATTTCTCATTCGTAACACTTACGTATTGTTAATTATTTGAAATCTTTCACCCTTCTTAAATGAAAGGTCTTCTGTAGTTCTAGCTTCATAATCATATAAGGCCACAAATATAGTAACACCACCTAATGGAAGAAAAGAAGACCAAGGTAAATCATATAGATAAATTAACAGAAGAGAAATTAAAAATCACTGCCAGCAAAAAGGCTTAAGCATAGTTTTTTTTTTTCCTGGTCTCCAGAATCTATTTTCGAAAGTTGGATATTGGGAAGCTGGCATTTTCAAATTAATAAGATACTCTTTTTTAAAAAAAAAAAAAAAATATGTTTTATTGATTTTTTTACAGAGAGGAAGGGAGAGAGGTAGAGAGTTAGAAATATCGATGAGAGAGAAACATCGATCAGCTGCCTCCTGCACACCTCCTACTGGGGATGTATGTGCCTGTAACCAAGGTACACGCCCTTGACCGGAATCGAACCTGGGACCTTTCAGTCCGCAGGCCGACGCTCTATCCACTAAGCCAAACTGGTTAGGGCAATAAGATACTCTCTTAAGGCCTTCTATGGAAGTATTATACTCTACAAATTTTAAAAGTTAGACCTAGAGACACAAATTTAATTTTGATTCTCTGGCTGAAAAAGCAACAAATTATAGGCATTGATTCTCTAAATTTCTTATAAACAATGAGTGAACATTTCAATCCTTAAAACTAATCATTAACAGTAATAACTAAGGTTTTAGTAAGATACTTTATTATGTTTAACATTCAAATATAAAAATGGCATGTTTTTCTTAGCAAATAAATTGTATGGCTGATATGACTTATAAATTTCAAAAATAACTATCTTATATAGCATTGTGTGCAGATGCTTAAGAGATCAGCACACTTACACAGCCAAACTATTATCTGCAAACAAAACAAAGAATAAAACAGATTATTTCATTTATCTGGCTTCCAGCCATATAATACTACCTTTTTACATGTCTACCTAATGTCTAACAAGCATTTAAAACTTATTAGTTACAAAAACAAACGTGGTGATTTTTCTCCTCTAACCTTTTACCTTGAGTCTTCCCTACCTAAGCAAATGGCATTTACTAACCAACCAGGTCCTCAAGACAAGTGGTTCTACCTCTAAAATATCTACTTCCTTTTCCATTTCTACTGCTGCCACCCTAATCCAAGCTCTTGTTCCTTCTCACTGGGACTTCTGGGACTATTGAGAGTAGTAGCCTCCTTAACTCATTGTATATCAGCTTCCCTACATCTGCCAGAATGAGTTTCTTTTAAAAGGCAATTCAATCATCAAAATCCTTAACTGAAATGTCTTCAATAGCTTCTTTCTGGCTCTGAATAAAACCCAAACTTCTTACCAGTCTACAAGGTCCTGAGTAATCCTGACTCTTTAATTCCAAATCATACAATTCTACCCTCTGTTCATATGGGCCTCCTTACTACTCTTCAAAAACTGCCAAGTCCATGTGTACCTCCTAAACTTTGCAGAAAGCTCTTTTCCCAGTTCTGCATAGGTTTAGATCATTCTCAATAATAAAACAGCTCAAATAACTTCTTGTCAAGATGCCATTTCTTGATCATCTAAAAGGCCTTCACCAATGTTCTGGTTAGTTCTTTCATAGCATTTGAGAACTGTTAATCACACTGAATAGTTGTTTATATAATTACTGTCCAACCCTTTAGGGCAGAAACCTTGTTTCTCTCATAACTCTCTATAACTGGCATACAGACACTCCATATTTATTAATAAATTAATATCCACGAACAAACTATTTCACATATATAAACTGCTTTAGGTCACTAAGTTCTGTCTTAAAGTTATCAATATTTACTTTAATCATTTTGGATTACTATCTTTCCCAAACATATAATCCTGAAGATAATTAAAATTTTTGCTGATGACTGATAAATACCATCATGGCCATCTGTTACTGAAGTATTTAGAGTTAGGGGGCTGGAATTAGATTGTAATTGACTTTTTGAGGTCCATAACTCCCCACAGGAACAGTCTAATAGAATTAGTGTATGGCATCCCTCTGGTCACTATTATTGGTTCAGAAGCAAGCAGACCGAAGGGACAAATTTATAGTCCATGCTTGTATGCTTGTAGAAGAGAGTCCTCTTTTGTCCCCATTGGTTGTTAGTAAGGACACATGTTGCTCAATTTGATGCTGGCAACTGTTTTGTCCTAAGTCTGAAGATAAGGTGGAAAATCCAAGGACTGCAGGAGAGAGATCAAAGAAACTTGAGTTGTTGATGACATGAAGGAATCCTGGAGTTCATCCTACCTTTTAAGCCAGGTATGCTTTGTTACTCAAGGGAAAAACATCCTAATATGGGATCCTTCATAAAACAACTCTTTAAAGTTTATGTCTACTTTTTTTTAGGGCATTTCTGGCTCCATTAAAGGTTGTCAGCTCTCACTTCTTGCTGTTCTTGAAAGGATATTATGATATAAATAATAAATGGAGTTCTAGAATAGGACATTAAATCTGGGCTCTCTCTGCTTATTATCTTTGACTCTAAAAAAAAATCATTTAAACTCTGAGCCTCAGAATTTTTCTCTTTTAAATCACTAGTACCTAATAGAAAAACTGTATTATCATCACCATTTTGCCATTTAATTAACATTTAAGTATAGTGGAACATCGGTTCTCGAACTTAATTTGCATACATGTTTGACAAGCGATTTGTTCGAAAACCGAATCATTTTTTCCCATTAGAAATAATGAAAACTGAATTAATCCGTTCCAGACCCCCAAATAATTCCATTTTATCGAACCTTTCTTATATATAATACAATGTCTAATGTACTGTTTAATCTATAAACACTTCTTAAATTTATCGAACCATCTCTACTAGCCTTAAATGAATTTTTAATATATCACTGCCTCCAAAATGCTACTACTGGCTGTTTTTCACTTATCCAATCAACAACAGTTTTTCTATCTATTCAATTGCCTGTGGTCGTTTTTTTTTGTGAGCACTTTCACAACCTTAGCAACATAAATACTCTTGATGGTCTTTATGTTTTAAAATTGTGTTAATCATTGATTTCTCCAACAACAAAAGCATTCTCTTCTTTGTTGCCTGAGAAATGCTTTTTGTCATGCTGAGATATGAGCATAAAAGGGTTATCATGTTGAAAACTGAAGTTTTGGTCAACAACTGAGACATTTCTTCTGTGAACAACTTGGTGGAGAATCGCACTGTTTGAGATGGGAGATGTTCTAGAAACGAGGTTTGACTATAATTACTATTAGAGGACAGCACTTTACAATCCTGAGAAATTGCAACATTCTTGAGGGAGAAGTATGTTTAAAATTTATTTTTCAATTACAGTTGATATAGTTTTAGGTGTACAACATAGTGATTAGATATTTATATATCTCATGAAGTGATCACCCCGGTTAAGTTTAGTATGCATCTGATACCATACATAATTATGACTATATTCCCTATGCTGTATTTTTTAAATCTTTATATCCTCAGTGCCAGCCACACAGTAGGCACCTAATAATTACTTGAAAAATGAGTTAATGAAATTCTTAATGGTGTAACACAGTACATAATCACTATCAGTTTATTACCAGATTTCTCAAAAAGATATCCACGCATACATTAACACTTTAATTTTTATGTTAAGAGACTTTAATTTTAACAAACTTATTTAAAAAGTCAATCAGTAAGTTATTTTTCTTACAGCAGGCAAACCTTATGCATGTATTGCCCAAGGTCATATTCTCAAATTTACAACAGAATTGTCCATTTAAATCTCACCTGTTAAACCAGCAGGATATGAACTTGGCACCACTGAGAATGAGGAAGATGCTCCTCCAAAAGGTGTCACCCCTGAGGATCCTCCAAATGGTGTCATGGAAAGACTGTTAAAATTAACAGATGTTCCCTTTGCTGAAGATGATGGTGTTGCTGGAGTGTGTTCTGTCCCATAATGGCTTGCACTTGTATTGACAGGTTCTGGAGTGTTTTCTGTTCTATATTTAATTGCTGGACTTTTATTCTCTTTACTTTTAATGCAGCCCATTATAAAATCTACAATAGAAAAAAGGTAAATACTTTGAGAAGCAGTTAACATAAAGGATATATCAAAAAGATGCAATTCAAAAGTTAACTTTAAACAAAGCATTTTTCTCTTGCAAAAAGTAACATTAAACAAAACAAAACAAAAATAAAAACCAGACAGCTAAAGATGAAATCTCTTCCCCTCATTATCTGCTAAGGCATCATTCCAATTATGTCATTCTCCAATGCAACCACTTTTATTTTTTAAAAAATATATTTTATTGATTTTTTACAGAGAGGAAAGGAGAGAGATAGAGAAACATCGATCAGCTGTCTCATGCACACCCCCTACTGGGGATGTGCCCACAACCAAGGTACATGCCCTTGACCGGAATCGAACCTGGGACCCTTCAGTCCGTAGGCCAACACTCTGTCCACCAAGCCAAACCCGCTAAGCAGGGGTGGGCACACTTTTTGACTCAAGGGCCACAGTGGGTTCTTAAACTGGACTCAGAAGAAGGAGCTGCGGCCATGTTTCCCGACGTTGCCATGTTAACACTGCTGCTGGTCAAGGAACGGAGGGGAGAGCAAGAGAACCCTCCGCTCTTTCGGCTCCGCGGGCCGGATAGAACAGCCGAACGGGCCGGATCCGGTCCACGGGCCGTAGTTTGCCCATGGCTGGGCTAGGGCAACACAACCACTTTTAATGGTCCAATGAAAACATGCCACAATGAATAGGGAAAAATCATGGGTTCTGAACCAGAGAGACCCAAGTTTGAATCCTGGCTTTCTTACTTACTAGTGGAGTCATTTAGATATGTTGCTTAACCTCTCTGGACCTTAGTTACTTGAAAAAGAAGGATAATAATATCACCTACTTCATAAGGTTTTCTGAGGAGTAACTCATTTATCACAAGTTCTAGATAACATCTGGCACATAGTAGGTACTAGCAAATACTGGTTATACTCCAACCTATACCAGCAGTATGTAATAGAAATGTAATCTGAGCCACAATATAAAGTTTCTAGGAGCCACATTAAAAATAATAAAAAGAAACAGGTAGAATTTTAGTAAATTTTATTTAACCCAATGCATTTAAAATATAATTATTTCAACATATCAATATACAAGTTTTTAATGAGATGTTTCATGGGTTTTGTGTGTGTGTGTGTGTGCTAAATCTTAGAATCTGGTATCTATTTTAAACTTACAGTACATCTCAATTTGGGCCAGGTACAATAACTGTATGTAGCTACTGGCTACCATATAGGACAGTGCAGCTCCACATCTTTCACATCTTTCCCCTTCTTTATCAATAGACACTGCCCCAATGCTTACCCAATTTGACCCCAATCTATCCTTCCAATTTCATCTATTTTTTATTCAAAAAAATATTTTTATTGATTTCAGAGAAGGGAGGGGAAGGGGGAGGGGGAAGGGAGGGAGAGAGGAACATCAACTGGCTGCCTCCTGTACTCACCCAGATGGGGGATGAACCCGAAACCTGGTATGTGCCCTGATGGGAAATCAAATCCACCACCCTTCGGTGTACGGTACAATGCTCCAACCAACAGCTATATTGGCCAAGGCTTGAGAAGATTTTTCTATAGAGCCACGTTGGCCAGGGCTTGGGAAAATTTCTGTATGAACTCTTGACTTACTCCTTTTTTTGGGGGGGGGCGGGGGGGGGCGGGTAAGGGGGTTTACTGGCCTAATTCCCACTCTACCTCCAAATTACTGGCAATACATTTCTTAAAAGCAAGAATTACTCATTTCTTATACACTATACAACCTATCAATGTGACATGCATACAGTAGGTTTACTAATATTACAAAATCTGCATTTTTTTTCACTTCCTGAAGAAGCAGTAACGGAGATTTCATTAATTCACTAACTTTTTAAAAAATCTTTATTGTTCAGATTATTACAGATGTTCCTCCCTCCCCCCCACTAGCTCCCCTCCACCCAGTTCCCACCTGCCCCCCCAGGGCCTCACCCCTCCATGGTCCTCGTCAATAGGTGTAAGATCTTTGCCCAATCTCTTCCTGCACCTCCCACACCCCTTCCCCCCCAAAATTGTCAGTCTGCTCCCTTTCCATGCCCCTGATTCTATTACTTTCACCAGTTTATTCTGTTCATCAGATTTTTTATTCATTTGATTTTTAGATTCACTTGTTGATATGTACTTGTCTTCTTCCTCTTCTTAAAGAATACCTTTCAGCATTTCATATAATAACTGGTTTGGTGGTGATGAACTCCTTTAGCTTTTTCTTATCAGTGAAGCTCTTTATCTGACCTTCATAGCTTTGCTGGATAGAGTAATCTTGGTTGTAGGTTCTTGCTATTCATCACTTTGAATATTTCTTGCCACTCCCTCTGGCCTGCATAGTTTCTGTTGAGAAATCAGCTGACAGTCACATGGGTACTCCCTTGTAGGTAACTGTTTTTCTCTTGCTGCTTTTAAGATTCTCTCTTTGTTGCTGAAACCGGTTTGGCTCAGTGGATAGAGCGTCGGCCTGCGGACTGAAGGGTCCCAGGTTAGATTCCGGTCAAGGGCATGTACCTGGGTTGCGGGCACATCCCCAGTGGGAGATGTGTGGGAGGCAGCAGATCAATGTTTCTCTCTCATCGATGTTTCTAACTCTCTATCTCTCTTCCTTCCTCTCTGTAAAAAAATCAATAAAATATATTTTTTAAAAATAAATAAATAAATAAATTATAAAAGATTCTCTCTTTGTCTTTTGCCCTTGGCATTTTAATTATGATGTGTCTTGTGGTCCTCTTTGGATTCCTCTTGTTTGGGGTTCTCTGCGCTTCCTGGACTTGTAAGTCTATTTCTTTCACCAGGTAGGGGAAGTTTTCTGTCATTATTTCTTCAAATAGGTTTTCAATATCTTGCTCTTTCTTCTTCTGGCAGCCCCATAATTTGGATGTTGGTACGCTTGAAGTTGTCTCAGAGGCTCCTTACACTATCTTCATCTTTTTGGATTTTTTTTTTTTTAATATATTTTATTGATTTTTTACAGAGAGGAAGGGAGATAGAGAGTTAGAAACATCGATGAGAAACATCGATCAGCTGCCTCCCACACATCCCCCACTGGGGAAGTGCCCGCAACTCAGGTACATGCCCTTGGCCGGAATCGAACCTGGGACCCTTCAGTCCGCAGGCCGACGCTCTATCCGCTGAGCCAAACCGGCTTTGGCTATTTTTTGGATTCTTTTTGCTTTTCTGGTTGGGTGTTTTTTGCTTCCTCATATTTCAAATCTTTGACTTGATTCTTGGGATCCTCTAGTCAAGGGGCCGGCAAACTGTGGCTCGCGAGCCACATGCAGCTCTTTGGCCCCTTGAGTGTGGCTCTTCCACAAAATACCGGCTCTTCCACAAAATACTGACTTCTGCGCATGGGCCACGAAGTTTCAATTGCACTGTACGTGCACGCCCGCACGTGGTATTTTTGTGGAAGAGCCACACTCAAGGGGCCAAAGAGCCGCATGTGGCTCGCGAACCATGGTTTGCCGACCATGGCTCTAGTCTACTGTTGAATCTCTGTATATTTTTCTTTATTTCAGTCAGTATATGCTTAATTTCTGACTGGTCCTTTTCCATTTTTTTGGCATTCTCACTAAGATCCTTGAAGGTCTCACTAAATTCCTCACAGGTTTCTAGAAGATTCTTGCGTAACCTTATAACTGTGGTTTTGAACTCTATATCCAGCATTTTGCTTTCTTCCATTTTTTTTCATTTGTGACATGTTTCTTTGTCTCCGCATTTTGGCTGCTTCCCTGTGTTTGTTTTATATGTATTGGGTAGCTGCTAAGTCTCCTTGAGTTGACAGAGTGGCCTTGTGTGGTAGAGATGTCCTTAGGGCCCAGTGGCTCAGCCTCCCCAATCACCTGAGGTGGACACTCTTGGCGCAACCCTTTGTGGGCTGTCTGCACAGTCCTGTAGTAAAGCCTTGACTGCTGTTGGTGTCACTGGGAGGAATTGACCTCCAGGCCAATTGGCTGTGAGAACACCAGCTGTGTCTACAATGGAAGAGCTGCTGTGCAGGAGACACCCTTATGGGGCAGGACTTGCTTCAGTGGGGCTTTGGCGCTCACTGAGTCTGCCCCTTGAGTGTGTCACTTACGGATGTGAAGAGTTGTAATCTGGTATGATCTCACACTGACCACTGGATACACTGGCTCTTGGATCTCCAAGAAGGTGCAAAGTCAGCCACTGCCTGGGGCCACCCAACAAGAGCTACAGAGAGGTCTGCAGATTCCTCCTCTTTGTATTGGGTTTGGAAGTGCCCAGAGAGGTCCAGCTGTGAAGCAAGGTGCTGGTTCTTGGGCCTTCTTTTGATAGTTTTGGGGCCGCCTGACCCAGCTGCTGCCTGTTTATGACAGGTTTTAGGCTGAGAAAGCACAGGCCATTCATATGCAATAGCTGCTGAGCATAGCTTGGGTGGGGTGGGGTCTCAGGGAATCCCCAGGGTGGAGCAAACAGCAATGGCTGCCAGTCAGCCCTGCACCAGAGAGGTCCCAGCACAGGAACAATGACCGCTGCGAGCACCTCCGTCTGGAAAGCCGCCCTCGTGCTCCTGCCCCGATGCCAGACAGTTCAGTTTCTCCCCGTATATGTCTGGGTCCCCCAGAGTCTCCCTCGGAACTGGAGTTCAGAGCAAGCGGGAGCTTGTATCTCCCTCCGGATTAAAAAAAGCAGCTCACCCTGGTGCCAGCCCATTCCACGCCTCCGTACCTTCTACCAGTCTCAATGTGCTTTCTTCACCTCTTTGTAGTACTTCCACTTAGCCAGCTTTCCAGCAGTTCTTGATGATAGTTGTTCTGTTTTTTAGTTGTAATTTTGATGTGGTTGTGAGAGGCAGCAAATACAGGTGTTTACCTCTGCCGCCATCTTGGTTCTCTCTAATTCACTTACTTTTAAAAGTCATTCTTATTTTACAGATTTTCCCTTCTTATATGGCATTCAAAGGGGAAGTGAGTGATAAGATGTGTGCCTCCTAAATTCTGAAAAAAAAACCTAGG